CACCAGTGGGAACTGCAGCCCGTCGGGGGGGTGACCTAGTGGGCCCACTCCCAGCCCTGGACCTTGAACTTTCCAGGTGGTACTGCAGCAAGGATGGCTTCCGGGCAACCTGTAAGGAATCCAGTTTGCATAACTGTGGCTGTCTAGGACTCCAGGTCAGCCAAGAAGCCATCCCAAATCTTGTGAGGTCAACACAGTCATGAAGAGACCCTCCCGTTAGCGATGCCTGCAGTCTCTCTTACATAGATGTTGAAAGTAGATGCATTCCAGCTGGCCCCTGGTCGTCCGCCTTAGCACAAACATCTCCCTTCTCCTGCCTTGTGCTGTAGGGAGCCTCTCATCCTGCTGTCCCCCAAATACTTAAAACATACATCAGAACCTTTCTTTAAAAGGCAAGAGACAGAAACAGATCAAAAGAGAGCTTGCATCTGCTGGTTTGCTCCCCAGACAGCCACACCAGCCAGCTCCAGGGCGCGCTGAAGCCAGGGGCTTAGACTCTGGTCTCCCATGCGATGGCAGGGCCAAGCACTTGGACCATCCTCCGCTGCTCTCCCAGGTCCACTAGCAGGGAGTTGGATCAGAAGCGGAGCAGCCAGGATACGAACGAGCTCCCATATGGGATCCTGGAGCTTACGAGGCAAGAATTTAGCCACTAGACCAGCTTGCCGGCCCTTTCCATTCAAGGACTGCTTTTTCGGCTCCTCTGCAGTTTTCCAGTACTCCGTATAGACACGGGCCGTTATTTCTTTGGCTTTGCTGCCCCGGTACGTGTACGAAACACACAGTGGACTCAGAGATAGTGTTCATCTGTGTTCTGTTGCATTCCCTGTAGTTTTTTGAGGGATTTCTCTTCCAAGTCACTGCTTTTCTTCAGGTGTGTGCAATCTAATTCCCCCACTTTCCTCATCTAGAATTCGGGTACTTTAAAAATGTAAATCATGATATAATGTCTTGTTTCTGAAGGAGTTTCCACCTTGGTTTTCTTTTTAATTTTTATTGGAAAGTCAGATATACAGAGAGGTGGAGAGACGGAGGAAGAGCTGTCCACTGATTCACTTCCTAAGTGGCCACAATGGCCGGAGCTGAGCTGTCTGAAGCCAGGAGCCTGGAGCCTGGAGCCTTTACTGGGTCTCCCACATGGGTGCTGGTCCCTAGGCTTTGGGTTGTCCTTGACTGCTTTCCCAGGCCACAAGCAGGGAGCTGGATAGGAAGCAGGACCACCGGGTTCAGAACCGGCACCCATATGGGATCCCAGCATTCAAGGTGAGGACTTTAGCTGCTACGCTATTGCACCAGGCCCGTTCGGTTTTCTCTTCACCACACCACACTGCGTAGCAGTTCTGTCAGCTGTGTGTGACAGTTCCAAGGTCTCAGGTGTTGTTCCCTGGGCAGAGACACACGCTTGTTCTGTGGTTTCCACTCAGTTTCTCACCTTATTTATTCACTGGCAGGCATCTGCAGGAACAAGGGCAAAGAAGAATGTATCATTTTGCCAGGTGCCTGGGTCCTCTTTTAAAATTTGTTTATTTTAAAAGAGAGGAGAGACAAAGAGCTCCCATCCTCTGATTCGCTCCTCCAATGTCTGCAGTGGCCGGAGCCGAGCCGATCCAGAGCCAGGAGCTCTTCTGAGTCGCACACGCGGGTGCAAGGGCCAGAGCCAACCTTTGCTACTCTCCCAGGCCACAAGTTTGGAGCTGGATCAGCAGCGGAGCACCCGTGTGGGCTCCTCCTTGTTCCAGCTGGGGTCACTGTGCTCGTGGACACAGGATGGGCCCTCTGGGCAGCCTCTTTTTGGCTGCTGTAGGTCTTTGCAGTCCCCACTTCACGTACAGGGTTATGAGACAACCTGGACTCCAACTCCTGGCCCTTAGACCTTGGGAATTTGCCAGCTCGGTAGCCCCGATGATGTTTCTTTGGTGCTGCAGATGATGTAAGAACGAGGCCTTCCACAAGGCAGCCGAGCTGAGGCAGAGGCGGGTCAGGACAAGCCCCACTCCATGCCCTCGTGCGGGCAGGCGAAGGCTTTCTTACGAACTGCTTGTAGCAGCTGCCAGCCCCGCTCCTGGCCTCCATACCTCAAGCCAACTGGGGGTGGTCTCTGTTTTGTTTCTCATTCTGCCTTCTACTTTGTTTTGTTTTTTGGTATGGTCGCTCTCAGCCCTGTGAACAATAAAAACAGGAGTCCATTTAGATTGGTGAGCTATGCTCACTGGGGGGCTGGGCCCACATGATCAAGCCTCTAACTAAAGCAGGAGCTTCTGTCAGTCTTTAAGGTTTCTTTCTCATTGATGTTTTGTCCTTGTCCTACATTCCACTCCAGCTCTTGTTGCAGCCTTTGATCTCTGAGCACGGTTAGCTCTGATCTGCATGTGGAGCTGCCTTTTTCAGAATAAACTGCATACCAATATCATAAGCATGCAAACAATTAAGCAGACAGTTCACCAAGTTAAAAATTCACCCCAGGGTGCTGGTGCTATGACTTAACAGGTAAAACCACGGCCTACAATGCTGGCCTCCCACTTGACTGAGTCCTGGGTGCTCCCCTTTCCATTCTGCTCCCTGCTGACGGCCTGGGACACACAGTGGAGGATGGCCCAGTGCTTGGACCCCAGCCTCTAATGTGGGAGACCCAGAGGAGGCTTCTGGCTCCTGCCTGGCCAAGCCCTGCCCTGGCTGTCTGTATAGTTAACTGCCAGAGAATAAAAGATCTGTCTTTCCCTCTCTTTCATATTAGTAAAAAAATTTTTTTTAAATCTTCCAAAATTTACCCAGACATTACTTACAGTTTTTAATAGGTCTAAAAATTTCAATATGTTTGTACAGTAAAAATCCCAGATGATTAGTATATACCATGTCACATAATTATTAGACACAATTTATTTAAAATCAAGAGGGAAAAGCTCAAACAGATTGCGAGGATTCCCACACTCGGAACAGGCTCACCCTGTTGCTCTGTTTTCCTTGAAGCCATCTCCAGGGCAGTCCGGCTGAGCACACAGTCCTGTTTCCTACCATGTTTTTAGGGTTTCTATTTGCATGTCCAGTGTGACATTTGGCTGTCAGTTTCTGGTCGCTTTGCTTTGTGGCATGCGTGGATTCGGCCCCTCCTGAACCTGGGGTGGGCGTTGAGAAGCCTTCCCTGCAGAGCGGCCCCTCTTCTGTACCAGTTTCCTCATTCAGGCGCTGTGCTTCTTGCCCATCACCCAGCCCCTGCCAACTGTCCCCCAGCCCCTTCTCCAGCGTGCTGTTGCTGTGGTTGGGCCACCGTGTCTCTCGTTTGGGTTCCCACCAGCCCTCGTTACACAACTGCTGGGCTTTCCCTCTGCCTTGCTGCCATTTCTGTGCAACTCACTCGGGTGCAGCAACCTCTCCCCAGGCTCATCCACTTGGTAACCAGGAAGGGGGGCACTCCACATCCCGGCATAACCAGGAACACAAGGTGGGTAACCTGAAAGCCACGGCTACTGGGTCTCGCTCCCAGAGCAATAAAGGCTCGGCAAGTAGGCATGGAGGTGTCGTAGGGAGTGAGGGTACACCCACTCTTCCGGGGCAACAAACAGCTGTTCTGGTCATGGTCTACCTGCCATGGCTCTCAGACAGCCAAGGAAGAACAAGGACCATCTCTGCCCCTCGTCCCGGCACATCCCACCTGCCGGCCCCGCTGTCATCAGCTGTGGCCACAGCTCTTCTATCCACACCACCGGGGGCTGAGGTGCTCACGAACTCATGGAACCACACCGTGAAGGCTTGCTGCGGCCCCAGGCCGACCTCTGCCCGCCCCATTCCATGAAACCCGTCAGCCCCAAAGGGTGAATGAGCACCGACTGACTGTCCTAAGACCCACTCCAGTACACAACTCCGAGATTAAAACACCTGTTTACAGAGTCACACCAGCAGTATTCATAAAAGCCAAAAGCACCCCAGCATCTAGAAGGCCCAGAGCTGAGAATGGATCAACAAAGCTGGCAGATAATACAATGGAATATTTTTGTCCATAAAATTTTTTTTTGTCCAGAAGCTCCATGCAAATGAAGCATTATGCTAAGATAGGGAGAGCAGGCAAGGCAGGATGGACGTTGTTAGATTCCATTTATGTTCAGTGTCCACAATGGGCAAAACCACAGAGAAAGGAAGTTAGCACTTGCCAATGCCAAGGGCAAGGGCAGGAAGGGAATGGCAGCCGACAGAAATGGGGTGTCTTGGGGTAGCACGGATGATAGCTGCAGGACTGAATACACTCACAGTCAAGTTTACGGATAAGTTTTGTGACACGTGAATTATATATCAGCAATGCTATTCAAAAGAACAAGCAGTCCATCCATGTGATTGTCTGTTTCTGACATGCTAGAGGTCAGTTATACCATTCCACATAAACAAGCGAGCCAGGAGACCTGCCCAGAGAACCCTGAGCAGACGCTGGTGAGGAGCAGCTTCAGCCCCAGAGCAGCAGTGATCTGCCACGCCACCCGCTCCCAGGACGAACCACAGCAGAGGGAGAGTCGATCTAAGCCAGAGTGGTGTTTTACAGCTCGTCTCAGCAATGAGACAATGTAAACACAACAACAGACCCTTTGTGACAGCAGGCCTAACCATGTGAATGCCGGGGCAAAGGCTTACCCAAAAGCTAAAACCACCAACATATTTTCCAAAGTGGGTACCCAGACTGGGAGACAAGGGCAGACTGGGACCTATGACCCCGTCTGCCCACCCCCGCTCCACCATGGGTTACATGCTACATTGCTGGTGCCTCCCTCCAGAACCCCTCAGGGTTCCTACACACTGAGCTGCACCAGTTGCCGCCGGCCTGGGGTGCTCTGCACAGCCCCCGTGCTCCCAGTGGCATGCAGTGGGTTTCCATAAGTCCCATGCGCCCGGTCCAGGCCTCTCCTGCGAGTGCCTCTCCTGTGCTGGGGCCGTGCCTGGGAGGCCGACACTCTGTGGCCTGCCACGCGAGCCATACTGCACTGTGTCAGCGGCCTGCTCAGAGCACAAGACGACAAACAAGAGCAGGTCCCTGGCACTGTATTCACATGTTTAAAAAGGCAGGTGACAGCTCTTAGTTTTCCAGGTCTTTGGCTAAAGTTTCCCGGATGAACTGTAGAGTGCGTTGGTATAAGAATGCGTCCTTCTTCTTGGGCTTGCAGATGTTTAGATGGTTCACGTCCACGGGGATCAAGTCGCCGATGCCTAAATCTGAAAAACAAAATCATCAGTCAGTCCGAGCTGTTCGTGCTGGGAGAGCTTAAACAGGTGGTCTGGCTGGGACCCGGGGCCTGACAGGCACAGCGTCTCTCGCACAGCTCCAGTTCATATCCCAGTGACCCTGCTTCCCATCCAGCTCCCTGCTTGTGGCCTGGGAAAGCAGTCAAGGATGGCCCAAAGCCTTGGGACTCTGTACCCATGTGGGAGACCCACAAGAAGTTCCTGGCTCCTGGCTTTGGATCGGCTCAGATCTGGCTGTTGCAGCCGCTTGGAGAGTGAATCAGCGGATGAAAGAGCTTCCTCTCTGTCTCTCCTCCTCTCTGTATATCTGATTTTTAAATAAATAAATAAATAAATAAGTCTTAAAAAAAAAAAAAAGAACTGACCCAGTTCTGGCCTTTGCGGCCATTTGGGTAATGAACTAGCAGATAGAAGATCTCTCTTCTCCTATCTCCTTTCTCTGTAAATCTGCCTTTCAAAGAACAAGCTTTTCTAACAAAAATTCAGGCTCTAGCTTCCAGGAGCCTGTAACACACACTGAACAGCTGCACGTGCCGCCACTTCCTTCCACCCCAGGGGAGGACGAGGTTGCGCTTTGGTTTTTTTCCCATCAAAATATTTCCTGCTTGAATATTTCCCTAGATATCATCTCGTCACTTAAGGCTTCCAAACCTCGGATACTTTTTCAGGTTTCTGAATGCAGCTGTCAAATAAATCCCTCCATTCCAGCCAGCTGATAGGAGAGTTGTACGTTCTTTATCTACGTTAGGGCTAGAGAACCCACTTCGTCATCTAATCGGTTAAAGGGAGAAGCAGCAGCAAAGCCTTACAGAACTAGAAGCTTCGGAAACCCCTGCCATGGGGGGCTGCACGCAGCAGCTGCTGCTGACGGAACGCCAGCAGCCACGAGCCAGGCTGCCAGTGGCCCGGCTGCCAGGGGTCATACCTGCTGACTCCACGGGCACCACGTGGAGCTTGATCATGCTGCCAATGTAGGTCGGCAGTGTTTCCACAAAATTCAGCACCTGGAAGTTTTTGTCTTTAGCGAACTCCAGGAAGTCATCCTGTAGTGTTTTAAGTGCAGGTGAATCTGTAAAATGATGGAGAACATTGTGTGATGTCTTTTGACCCAACTCACGATTTTAAGAACACATCCCCTTAGGCATGCGTTTTCAGTGCAGCCCGGGGGTGGCCTGGGCTCCCTGCCAGGAAGCCCTGTGGACTTGAGTAAGGGCATGGAGCCCAACTCAGAACTCAGGACAGCTAGTCGAAGCAGGGGACAGAAAAGCGTCAATGGGCAGTCTGGTGTGGGGACTACACAGGCCTCTCAGTCTACAGGATGACCGCCACCCACTGCCCACTAAGAACAGCACCCCGCAACAGGAAGGCTCGAATAACTGTGGGGTGCTCTCCCCCTCCAGGGCAACCACAAAGCATCAGGGATGCAGGAAGCTCACAAGAAGCACCCATAGACACAGGAGAGCTAAACAAGCAAGCAGCACTTAAAAACACCAACGAAAAACACTCTCCTGAGTTGCTTCACAGTGATCAGGGAGATGATGGAGCCACAAGAGGACAGTATAAGGTCAACCAGAGAACAAGACTCAGGGCCAGTGCTGTGGTGTGGCAGACAACGTTATGTGAGTGGTGCTTGGGTCCCTGCATCCACACAGGAGACCCAGAAGGATGCCTGACTTTAGATGGGTGCAGCTCCAGCCGTATGGCCATTTGGGGAGTGAACCAACGGATGAAAGATCTCTCTCTGTCTCTCCCTCTAACTCTGCCTTTAAATTAAACACATCTTTATTAAAAGATGCTAGTTTGGATAGCTGTGTCCTCAGAGCCCTGGGTTCTAGTCCCAACTCGACAGCCGACCGAGTTTCCTGCACATCCTGGGGTGGGTAGGTAATGGCTCATATTACAACTAAGTTCCTAACTTCTGCTGGACCAAAGCCTGGTTTTTGAAAACATATATGGAGTGAACAGAGAATGGGAGGTCAGTCTGTCTGTCTCTTTTCTTGCTCCTTTTCAAATAAAAAAAAAAAGCAATTTAATCCACCTTAAAAGTTTATTAAAATTCAACAGAGATTTAAGACAGAAATCCAAGTGGCTGCTGTTGTGGCACAGCCAGTAAAGCTACTGCCTGCAACCCTGGCACCCCAAAATAACACCTGTTCCAGTCCTGGCCTGCTCTCCTTCTGGTACAGATCCCCACTAATGCACCTGGGTCAGTAGCAGAAATGGCAAGGCTCTGCCACCCTGGGGGAGACTGGGACAAAGGGCAGACCCCTGGCTTCAGCCTGGTCCAGTCCTAGTTGCTGGAGCCATTTGGGATATGAACCAGCAACGAAAGCGTCCTCTGCCTCTCTGACTCTTTCAAGAACACAGAATAAATACTTAAAAACACACCAAGAACATCTCCATAAGCCAGAAAAAGGAACAAATGGCAGAAAGGCAATCCGTGTCAGAGGCTCACACCGGGAAGGGCTAACACCGGTAACAGGTGTTCCAGAGAGAAAATGTCTGTTCATCGCAACAAATTTAGCACTTCGTAATTCACATGCTAGAAATCTCGAATGCCTATTTATGGGACAGCAGTTGATTTCTCAGACCCATTGGAAAACCGTCTACTGCTGCTTTGGAGTGATATTTAAACATGACATAATTTTCCTACACATTTAAGACAAAATCATTGCTACATTTGAATAAATAATGTCATAAGAATAGAAAAAGTAACAGGGGCCTGGCACGATAACCTAGTGGTTAAGCCTTTCCCTTGCATGTACCGGCATCCCATATTGGCAGCAGTTCGTGTCCTGCCTGCTCCACTTCCCATCCAGCTTCCTGTTTGTGGCCTGGGAAAGCACTAAAGTATGGACCAAAGCTACGAGGGAGACACTGAAGAAGCTCCTGGCTCCTGGCTTTGGATCGGCTCAGCTCCAGCCATGTGGTTACTTGCGGAGTGAACCAGTGAAAGGAGGTCTTTCTCTGTCTCTCCTTTTTCCTATAAATCTGACTTTCCAATAATAAATGCAAACTATAAATATAAATATTAAAAAAAGAAAAAGCAGCAAAAACTAAACCTTGTGAAACAAATGTTTCCAAGGAGAGTCTGAGCCCATTATGCACAAAACATGAAATGAGACAGAAACAAGTGTCAGAAAGTTTGTGGACAGTGTATATTACTGCAAAACTGCATGGACTGTGAAGCTGCACCGAAATGACATTTGCCCCTCATTTCACGAGCTTTCTGGAGTCCCCTCACACAGTCTCCTCCCCTGGAACTGCGGGAGGAACCCCAGCTTCCCTCAGGGCCCCAGGAAGACTCACCCTTGCTAAGCTCCTTGACCTCGAGCGAGGGGAAGAGCAGGTAGCGGATGTTCACCGAGTACTCGGCCAGGTGGGAGCCGTGGTGGGGGACGCTGTAGAAGATCATGCCCCTCGTGTTGTTGATGACCGTGCTCATCTCCGGCTTCTTGGCCGCCTCCACCAGCATCTTCTTGACCAGAAGACCTGGCCCCGGGGAGGCAGGACACACGTATAGGCTCGTCTCGGTCCCTCCATGACTCAAAACCAGGAAACCCAAGGCACAACAGGAGGTGCGGGCACAGGTGCTCGTTTCCAAAGCGCTAGAACCCCAGTTCCCAGCACAGAAGCAGGGAAGCAGCACAGAAGCTGCCAATGCCCTGGGACATCCCTGAGCCCCAAGAATTTACAGCACAGTACCACGGACTGGGACGACTCTGCAAGGCCACCTGCAGGCCACACGCTGCCAGCCCTAGACCTGCACTCCCACTTATGCATGCCAGGTGGCCTCAGCTCTGGTGAGCTAGGATGGCGATGACACAGCACCAAGCAGGCCTCTGTGGGAAACGACATCCTCCCCCCCCCCCACAGCACGCCAGGCTTCTGTGGGAAATGCGTGCAGAAGTTGCCCCTCTGCCATCCTTCTACCAGATCTGGAACCAAGAGTGAGATACACGAACTCCAGGGACAATGAGAGCAGATCTGGACACGCCGACAACAGTGTCCACCTGTCTCCCAGCAAAAGCCTAGCTCAAACCAGAAGCCGAGGTGACACCTGGAGCCCCTTCCGTGGCTGAGGTGGGCAGGGCTGTGAGGTGCCTGTCTGCAAGGCATACAGGGGTAGGGGAAGGGCATGGGAGAGCAGCCACAGACAGGCCTCCCACGCCCCCTCCGGGGGACTGGCATACATGGTCACCTGGGGCTGTGGGCGGGGACACCCAGCACAGCCCCTGTGATGCAGAGGACAGGGAGGAGGAAGGGAGCCCAGGGTCAGACAGAAGGCTCCCAGCTGGCCGACGGATGCTGCCCACAGCCACTCATCCCCAGGATGTGATGACCCACGGCCTTCCTGAATGGCTCATGACGAGCTGTCCATTCCCCCAGATCAACGCCGAGGAAGGAGAGGAGTGGGTTGTCAGACTTCCAGTCTGGTTAAAGATGCAAGCCTAGGGGTGGCAAGGGCCACCAGCTAAAGACAGGAACATGAGGGCGGTCAGCATGGTGGCCAGGCCACTAGCCACATGCCATGGTGGGAAGGACCACGCTTACCTCCCATGCTGTGTGACACCCAGATCATCGGCCGGTCCCCAACGCCAGCAGCCCTAAGCTTCCGAAGGAGCTCATTGCTTCTGAACGCGATGGACTTCCTGAACAAAACAGAGACAGCAGGTGTGAGGCGAAGCCGGGGTCTGCACATGCTTCTTGTAACTGCTACGTTTCAGAGTGAGGAACACCTCTAAGCTAAATTTCTGAAATCTCTCTTTCTTTCCTAATAGCCTCATGTTGGCATAACCAGGAATATCTGTTTACAGGTGCTGTTTGGGTGTCTAACTGTGCCTGTGGTTCCCAGGGGTCAAGGCCGGGCCTCATCCCCTGCCCTGTGCCAGTTACATGTGCCCTTTCCCATTCCAACACCTGCCAACATCAGCACCACAAAGATCGCTCCCTCTGGCTGCTTGTAGTCCTTGCATGTACACTGCAGTCACTAAGCTTTCCTCGTGTCAGCTGGCCGCTGAGGAACTGTAGGAAGCTCCTAGCGTCAAGAGGCCCAGAAGGAATATTTTTTAAATTGAAAACAGAACTCTAAAACCATCTGGTCTGAAGTGTCAAACTGTTTGCCTCTGGACACCTTTCTTCAAAAGGAGCCTGGCATCTCACTCCCTTACCCTGAACCATCCAGACCACCTGCGTGGGGTCTGGTCCAGGGCGCAGTCCGCTGGTGTGGATTAGATGGGCTCCATGTGCAGAGGGAGCACCACAGGCCAGGCACACAACCTGCCCAGGCTCCCTAAGCCCAGCCTCAGGCTCTCCGCCTCCCCCACACCAGGGGCGACGCCTGCCCATGGCTGCAGAACCCACAGACCTCAGCCATCACAGCTGTACAGCAGCCAGGCTGGGAACCCAACAAGGTGTCTGGGCTACTCCTACCTCACTGTGCAGTCAGAGCTCAACCCGTTCATTCCTTGCATGGACATCCCACCTGTGGCATCTGAAGGTTGGACATCACCTCCCACCTGCCAGGACCTGCATGCAGCCTGGGCCCCAGAGCCTCTCCCTTCTCACATTACCTTTCCATAGGGCACCGGGCCCGCCAGTCACTGAGGCTGGTGTCGTACTCCACCGATATGATGCGCAGAGCTGGACAGTCTCTTGCTAGCCATGTCTGCACCAAACAGAAGGCACATGAGCACCAAGGCAGCCCCCACCACCAACCTGGGCCCTGCTAGCAACTGCACCTTACAACTGAAAGCCCCCTGCAATGCTGACCTCTAGCTAACCTGGGCATCAGAGCCAAGTCAAGAAGATGGCAAAAAACATGCACTGTGTTATCTTTGTGTGTTCCCAACGTGACATCAAGGCCATCAAGGTGCCAGGAGGATGGCCAGGCCCATGCTGCAAAGAGGACCCACGACAGGGGCCTGACAGTGGTGACGTGCCCTGTCCCAGGGTGCTGTGCTGGGGGCCTGGAAGGGTGATGGCCCTGCCCCAGGGTGCTGTGCCAGGGGCCTGGAAGGGTGATGGCCCTGCCCCAGGGTGCTGTGCTGGGGGCCTGAGAGGGGTGATGGCCCTGCCCCAGGGTGCTGTGCCAGGGGCCTGGAAGGGTGATGGCCCTGCCCCAGGGTGCTGTGCTGGGGGCCTGAGAGGGGTGATGGCCCTGCCCCAGGGTGCTGTGCCGGGGGCCTGGAAGGGTGATGGCCCTGCCCCAGGGTGCTGTGCTGGGGGCCTGAGAGTGGTGATGGCCCTGTTCCAGGGTGCTGTGCTGGGGACCTGGAAGGGTGACGTGTCCTGCTCCAGGGTGCTGTGCCAGGGGCCTGACAGGGTGGCACACCCTCCTTACCTTGGGCCAGCACGTTGTATACCTGTCTTCATCCTCCACAGCCTTTCCAATTACAGCCTGTTCGCTGTCCTGCTGGCGCCAGGTTTTGAATGCTGCTCCCATAAGGCCATGAATAAAAAGGACATCGGCTTTAATGGGCTGACTGACAGGAGAGAGTTTTAAAAAAAAGCAGAATAAATGTATTACTGCTATGGTAGCAATTGACATAGCATTCTCTTTGGACAGCACGTTAGCAGGTATAGCTGTTGTCAAATAAAACACAACCAACAGTGGATACGGGACACACAGGGCTGCCAAGGTGCCCTGGGGGGACACACAGGGCTGCCAGGGCTGTTGAAGTGCCCTGGTGGGAGGACACACAGGGTTGCCGAGGTGCCCTTGGGGGGCACACAGGGCTGCCAGGGCTGCTGAAGTGCCCTGGTGGGGGGACACACAGGGTTGCCGAGGTGCCCTGGGAGGAAGGGACACACAGAGCGGCCAAGGTGCCCTGGAAGGGGTTTTGGAAAAGGCATACTGTCCACTGCTCTCCTGATAAATGTGGAGGAGGGGCCTCGAGCCAGGCAGACCAAGTACAGCCGAGGGCAATGACTGGACATGTGTCAGATGCCACAGGCAGGCTGCCCTCTACAATAAAAAGGTGGCACACATCAGTGAATGTATCTAAGGCATAATATAAGGGATTTGCAAATACAGCTTTAAAGTCAGTGTGTTTCAAAGAGATTTTCAAAAACTTACTAAGGAAATTTGATGACTATCAGAAAGAGTGCAAAAGAGATTTTAAAGAAACATTCTTTAGATACAACATATTAAAAATTATAGGTTTTACATTTAGTAGCAAGTTAAAGTACATACAAAATTATTCAACACATTTGTAAGATACCTTGCCATAACATTTCAGATTGGCATTAGCCATTAATCCAGGATTCAAATGTTTTAAAACTTCCTATTTTTTTTTTGAGGATTTTTAAGAAGAATTTTTTGAAGACCCAAAGTATATATACAGTTTTCACTGTAGTCTTTCTACACTTGTTGTCTCAGCAAGGATACAATTGGGCTAGAGCAGCAATAACTTGAAGGTTCATTTGACAATGGATACAATGTCCCTACCCTCCTAGACAGAACCTCTTCCAGAAAGCAAAGGAGCCGCACACACGCCCGGCCCACACGCACGCCCTGACAGCAGGGAGATCCGCTCTGCAGAACCCACCGTGACAGGCTGCCTGACAGGCTGCACGATGGGGGAAGTGTGCCCCCACGAAGCCGCCACTTCTGCCAGCGGCCACCAGGTCACACCCTGCCAGTCCTCCTGAGGCTCCCTGCAGTGCACACAGCTTCTGACTCCGTAAGGAACTGAACGCTTCTAAGTCACACAGAAAACAACACAGAGGTGCCTGCTGGCTCCCCACCTGGTGCGACACTGGGGGTGCAGCACGTACACGCCGTCCTGGTACTTCTCCTGCACGGTCTCCCGGTCCAGATTGGCCAGGGTTCTGGCAGCATGAGAGGCCTCCATTATGTGGCAAGACTTCAGTGCTTCCGCCATGAGGGAGACCCAGCCTGGCGAGAAACAAGCCTGGTGAGCTGCTAAGACTCCAACCCATCCGCCTCACCCCACCTGGGGAGGCTCCACGGACACGGAGGAGCTGGCCGCGGTGACTGCTGGTCATCTCTGTGCTGCCCAGTGATCCTGAGCCCACGGCATGGCACTGTGCCATCCCCAACCACAGAAATAACACTTTAAAGTTTGACATATAAAACGAAAAACAGACAGTCAACAGAGAATTCCCTTTATAAAACAAAGTTGCCAACAGACTCAATATACAAGACACCCTGGGAAGGTATAATGTAGATGTATGCAAAAGGAGGAAATGCGCTGCAGATGATAAGTACATTAATACAGGACTTCCCATTAAGTTCATTAAATGTCGCTGTGTGTTACCATGAAGTAAATGTGTCCCTTCCAGAACCCAGGGGTTTCCAGTGTGATGGCAGTAAGGAAGTGGAGAGGGGTGATTAGGCACCCCTCCCCTTGACAGGCCAGACCTTAACAACAGGCGGCTCTTCACACTACATCGAGCTAGGCTGTAAGCCAACCTTGGGCTGTCCACCACGGCAGGAGGGTGCCGTCAGAAGGTGGGCGCACTCTGCCCTGCTCTCCAGGACCTTTAAAATATGGCACAAAAAAGAGGAATCAATAAAATGCACAGAAAGGAGAAGGGAGAGTAATTGTAAATTTTAAAGAGTTACAAAAAAACACGGAGGAAAATGCAACAGAGGTCACATTTAGTTCTCAAAGCACAACACATTCAAAGTATCTGCTGACCAATCTATCAGACTGCACCAATGCTGAGAACTGCTGCGGAGGGGAGCTGCTCGGAGGCGCACAGGCAGGGTCTGAGACGCGCCTGTAAGGGTGTGATGGACAGGAGCGTGCACACACAGAAGCATACAGCATTGTATGTGCTTCTGCATCTGTGGGTACATAACAGAGTTCCTGAAGGAAATGGGCCTGACTCCATCAGAAAATATGGAATGACTCTCCAGGATGACAAGAGGCCAGCTGGTCAGAGCGTCCACTTGCCAAAGCTGGGACATCAGGCATCAAGCAGAAAACACAGGAGTAAGCTACAGACCATTTACAAACAGGGATCCACGCACCATGCTGATAAGGAGAGAGGAGGGCGGGGAGCAGCAGAGAAAGGGGGACAGCCAGATGGCTCCTGCATAAGGCCAGAGGGGACAGAGAGAGACCACCCAGAACTCCCAGCTTGCTTGGATCAAAGAGAAAACAGAATCATAAGAAAAATCCCAGGGAAGGAGAGAAGATGGGAGGATGGGGGATGGGATGATGGAAGGATAGGGGGATGGGCGGAAGGAAGGGTGGGAGGGAGGCAGGGATGTGTTAGTGTGTGTGTGCGCGCACACACGTGCATGCATGCAGAAAGAGAGGGTGAGAAGGCTTGTGCTTCTGGAAGAACATCAAATGCTGGAGAGCAATGGGGAGGGTGTGCTAGGACAGGGACTTGGTTGTGTGGCCACCATCCGGTACAGACGGGATCAGAGAAGATCTCAAGTATCCGTTCGCAGCTTCTTAGCTGCAGGGGGACATGAACCACACCATGGGCCTCTGTTTCATCTGATGATGCTCCCGGGTTAACCCAGCCCCACCAGAAATCAAACAGCCCATCAGATGGTTATCATGGCAGCACTGTCTCTTGTGTCATGCACACACTGATTATCCTGGCTGTGGGGCGTGAGGACCCTTTCCAGCCCTAAGCACAGCCTGTGGAAATGACCCCTGTGTGAGTGATGGAGGTGGGGGACCCAAGGGCCGACCGATGCCTGTACCTGAACGCACAATGGTGGGGTGCAGGTGCTCGTTCAGGGCCATGTTCCCGATGATCCGCAGGATGTTCCTCTGCACCTTCGGGCAGTCCTTGTGAAGCCGGTACAGCCTCTGCAGCAGCTGCAAGCCACCATTGGCTTCGATTTTATCGCAGTGCGTAGCGATCTGGAGCAACAGGGGAGTGTAGGCTCAATTCACGGGGCACAGTCTACATGAGCTGACAGCACCGCGCCGTGGGGAGCACCAGGGCGTCACCCAGAACTCTCGCCTTCAAAGTCCTGAGGGAAAATTACTCCACCAACGCCTATCTCAGCAGAACTTCCAAGCCTTATTCTGAAGTTACCCTACTGAGCGCCTGCTTCCTGTACGACAAAGCTGTTGGCGTCTAGAGTGAGACTTTGGCTTACAACTCCTGACTGACTTGGCGGGCTGTGCCTCTGCACACAGGGACTCAAGCAGATGGGAACACACGCCACCTGCGCCCTACTCCCACCTCACAGGATGCCCGCGGCCTTGGGGCTGGCCTAAAACTCAGGGGCTGCAAACATACTTTTTTAGAAAATGAAACATTGAAGAAAATGGGACTTTGGTTGCTAAGAAGAGAAAGAAAAGGAAGCGAGAGGAGAACCAAGATTTTAATTTATTATTAAAATTAATTTATTATTAATGTATTATTGTAATTAACGTCACAGTTTGACAAAGTGTCAGTGGGTACAGCCTTGTCTGTTACTGATATGGCATCGTGTCATACAGATGGGATCATTCTCATTTACAAATTTTTAAAAAGATTTATTTATTTATTTTATTGGAAAGTCAGATTCACAGTGAGGAGACATACAGAGAAAGATCCTCCGTCCAATGCTCACTTCCCAAGCTGCAATGGCTGGAGCTGAGCTGATTCGAACTGCACACACGTGGGTACAGGGCCCCAAGGCCTTGGGCCATCCTCTACTGCTCTCCCAGGCCACAAGCAGGGAGTTGGAAGCAAAGAGGAACAGCCAGGACATGAACCAGTGCTCACATGGGATCCTGGTACATACAAGGTGAGGACCCAGCCACTGGGCTACTATGTCAGGCCCCTAATGGTTTTTTAAAGTTTTTTTTTTTTTCAACTCTAAGTACATTGGAAAGCATGCCTTTTAGACATCTTTCAGCAAGACACGTACTACCTGGATCTGTCACATGCCATATATGGCGCGTTGTCCTCACAACAGCCCACTGCTGTGGAAACTGCCCCAAGCCACAGCAGCCGGGCTGGCCTCCCAGCGTCCATCTCGCTCACAGCCCTGCACTCCTCGGCTTGAAGCTCAGCTCCTCATCTCACGCGGAAACAGAGTGGCCAGAAAGCGTCACACTTGCAAGCCACATGGGGTGGCTCTCACAAGTAAAATATGCAAGTGAAAACTCTAGGCTGCTGCCCTGAGGATGTGGAGTGAACCCCTCACACCAACCTCAAGAGAGACACAGGCTGCGCCTGGCAACGCTGTCCTCCGTGCCAGCTCTACCAGGCGCACTGGCTAGAGGCAAGCAGGGAGCGTGCACGTGCCCCACTGCCCCGGGCAGGTCTGTGCCCTGTGAGCACAGGCTGATATTCTTTTATCTTTTAAAGAGTGAGGCTGGCACTGTAGTGCAGCGGGTAAACTGCCACTCCCAATGCCAGCATCCTGTATGAGCGCCAGGTCCCGGCTGCCCCCATTCAGTCCCGCTCCCTGCTAACGGCTTAGGAAAGCAGAGGGGGATGGCCCAAGTGCCTGGGCCCTTACACCCACGTGGCAGAACCAGAAGCAGCTTCTGGCTCCTGGCTTCAGCCTGACCTAGCCCCACTGTCACAGCCATCTGGGGAGGGAACCAGCAGGTGGAGGACCTCTCTCCCCGCCTCTTTCTAACGCTGCCTTTCAAATACACAAATCTTTAAAAAAAATTAACTATAATCATCATGGAAAAGTTCCATAATGCTAAAAACTTGGAAAATCATAGTATAGGTGTTATAATGCAAAACAACCCAGTCGTCTAACATATCCTTTTCTTGTCTCGCCACATCTTCGGCAGCTGTGTGAGTGGTCACCCTGATCAGACTCTGTAAACGACCTGCAGAAGGCAGCGGAACACAGAGCTCAAAGGTGAACGCAGCGTCCACCGGCAACCAAGAGGAAGCCTGTTTGCAGAAAAACCTGGCAAAAACGAAACTCACACACTGGTGCTGAGTCCTCATTGCCTGCTGGAAAACCCGTGGCTTACCTCGGAATGCTTCACCATGGCTTCCAAGCAGAACATCTCCACTGTGGCAGAGGGAACTTCACCAAAACTCTCGGCGTAAGGAAGGCCGTTCCCGCCGAAGCACCAAAGGCCGCCCTGCAACCGAGACGTCACAGAGGAAAAACAACCATTCTCAACAGAAAAGTCCCCAGACTTTTTTTAAATCTCAAAAACACTGTTGAAACTTAAAGGGAACTTTAAACAATAAAAGCACATGGAATTGCACACCCAGGAGAGCGATTTTTTCATTTTTGTCACCTTTGAGCTTCTTTCCATTCTTTCCAGGGTCCTCTTGTCCCACCCGTGCTTCCTCGCCGAGCAAGAAACCAGTGTCGCTCACAATGTTATCCTATTCTTTCAAAAATCCAAAATTGGTATATTTTTCTGATTATGCTAATAGAGTACACTTAAAGTAAAATAGCCAATTTTTTTTTTAAGATTTATTTTATTTTTATTGGAAAGGAGGATATACAGAAAGGAGGAGATACAGAGAGGAAGATCTTCCATCCCATGGTTCACTCCCCAAATGGCTTGCAATGGCTGAGCTGAGCCAATCCGAAGCCAGGAGCCAGGAACTCTTCCAGGTCTCCCACGTGGGTGCAGGGTCCCAAGGCTTTGGGCCGTCCTCAACTGCTTTCCCAGGCCACAAGCAAGGAGCTGGATGGGAAGTGGGGCCACCGGGATCAGAACCAGTGCCCATATGGGATCCCAGTACGTGTAAGGAAAGGACCTTAACCACTACACTATTGTGCCAGGCCCAATCACCAATATTTCTAACAAAAGAAAGAAAAGCACTGCTGGATGGATCAGACACCGACAATATGACGTGTGAACTAATTCTTCCCAGGTTGGAATTCAAATTCATGAAAGAATAAAGAATAGTCAGATGAGTTGTGAAACAAAGAAGTGAAGACCATTTATTCCGAATAGATAGGAAAACATGTTGAGGGGAGAATGGAAACTTCTCAGCTTGGTTCACGGCTGACTTCAGTGACAGCATGCCACCTGCAGCAGGGAGCAAACCAGCAAAGGCGCGGAACAACCCTACCACGTGTGCAGCAACACTCCATGCCCTCGCATTCCTCCTCTTGCCACGGCGACCTCCTGAGGGAACAAGCCTGACACTGGCTGCTCGGACACCACAGCGCAGCCTGCTGGGAGGACAGCCTGGCAGCCACCGTCAGAGCAGCACCTTCCCATCCCACACTCCGGCGGAGGCACAGACGCCCACGCTCAGGCACTGTGGTTGGCTGATGACAGCAGAAGGACTGACAGGCACTTCACCTCCATCAGGGGAGGGGGTGCACAACGCATGCCATGCAGCTGAGAAGAGAGGTGTTTGGTTTAGCAGTTAAAATACGAGTTAAGGAGTCAGCATCGTGGCACAGTGGGCTAAGCTGCCACTGGCAACAATAGCACCCCTGCTCTGTATTTTGGCTGCTTCATTTCTGAGCTAGCTCCCTGACAATGTGTCTGGGAAGTAGTGGAAGACAGCGCATATGGGGAACCTGGATGGAGTTCCTGGCTCCTGGCTTGAACCTTGCCCGGCCCTGGCTGCTGCAGCCATTTAGGGGAGTGAATCAACAGCTGAAATACTCCTTTCTGCCTCTCTTACCTCCACATTGTAAATCAATCAATCTTAAAAAAAAAAAAAAAAAGAGGCATGAGTTGAGATGCCCACATTCCACAGGAGTGGGTTTAACTGCCCGCTCCTGAACCTGATTCCCACTGGCACAGACCTAGCACACGGCAGGAGATGGTGTGCTCCCAACACGGAGACCTACGCCGAGTGCCCAGGATCAGCCCAGCCACCTCCTCTACACTGCAGCCATCTGGGGAGCGGAATGGCAAATGAGAGCTCTGTCTTTCCCTGGGCCTCTGCTTCTCAAATACTCAACAAAAATATTTGAGTTTGGGCCCGGCGCGGTGGCGCAGTGGTTAAAGGTCCTCACCTTGCACGCCCGGGATCCCATATGGGCGCCGGTTCTAATCCCGGCAGCCCCGCTTCCCTTCCAGCTCCCTGCCTGTGGCCTGGGAAAGCAGTCGAGGACGGCCCAAAGCTTTGGGAACCTGCACCCGCGTGGGAGACCCGGAAGAGGCTCCTGGCTTCGGATCGGCATAGTATCGGCCCGTTGCGCTCACTTGGGGAGTGAATCATCGGACGGAAGATCTTCCTCTCTGTCTCTCCTCTCTGTATATCCGCCTTTCCAATGAAAAAAATAATAAAAATAAATCTTTAAAAAAAAAAAAATATTTGAGTTTTTCCATATACTGATGTGTACCAGCCTGAGATGAGTCCTTAAGGGAGAGTGTGCGAGCAGGTGCTGAGTGTATGCAGGTGGCCATTTGGGGGGGCAGACAAAGGAACAGAGAGTGAGGCATGGGAAGATGGGGGAGAGGGGTATGGATGGCCTGTCTCCTTGAAGCTTCACCTTGGAACCCGAACCCTAAATGCAGACGCTAAGACAGCTGTCTGGCTAAAGAGGTAACTGCCAGGAAGTCTTTTCAAACATCCCTATAGAAAGCCCGACATTTTCTCCAGGAAATACACTTAGGATGTAGAAGGTTCTAGCGTCAAGTCACAAGGTCCAGGGCTCCAGCAATTTCCAGTCAGATTTTCTTCACGCCTTCTCCAACACAGTATTGCTCGAGGCTTGAAGACGCCCGGCTCTCGAAAGGCCCTCGCCATCAGGGCTTCTGAGGCACCTGAAGGCCAGCCACTCTCTCTAGCACTCAGGGAACGGCACAAGGGAAAGCCTTTCCCACACACACAGCACCACAGTCTAGCACCTTCCCGTCACCTGAGCACTCTCCCAATTTTTTTTTTTCTTAAGATGTATTTATTTATTGGAAAGTCAGATATACAGAGAGGAGGAGAAACAGAGAGGAAGATCTTCCATCCGATGATTCACTCCCCAAGTGAGTGCAATGGCCGATGCTATGCCGATCCAAAGCCAGGATCCAGGAACTTCTTCCAGGTCTCCCACGTGGGTGCAGAGTCCCAAGGCTTTGGGCCATCCTCAACTGCTTTCCCGGGCCACAAGCAGGGAGCTGGATGGATGGGAAGTGGAGCTGCCAGGATCAGAACCGGCGCCCATATGGGATCCAGGCATGTTCAAGGCGAGGATTTTAGCTGCTAGGCCACACCGCTGGGCCCTCAATTTTTTTTTTAAAGACTAAATATATTTGTTCTGTAATGTACATTCCAGAGCCACATTGTAAAAGATATAATTACTCAGAATCTCTGTCTTCTTTTCCATGCTATCAGTCAGTATTGAGGATAGCTTGAAATCTATTTTTAATTCTAATATTTAATATTTTATTTCATTTAATATTTATTTTGTTTAAAAAAAAGAAAAAGCATAACCAGAGTAAACAACTTTATAAAGATCTCAGAAATATCATATGCCAAATCTTATGAGTGCAAAAAACAAAACAAAACAAACAAAAAAAAACCCCTCCAAATTCTTAAGATTAAATAAATTTATAGGAATGTTAGAATGACAACATGAAAAAAGTAATGGGTGGGCCCAGCGGCGTGGCCTAGCGGCTTAAGTCCTCACCTTGACTGCACGCCTGGGATCCCATATGGGCGCCGGTTCTAATCCCGGCAGCTCCACTTCCCATCCAGCTCCCTGCTTGTGGCCTGGAAAAGCAGTTGAGGACAGCCCAAAGCCTTGGGACCCTGCACCCATGTGGGAGACCCGGAAGAAGTTCCTGGATCCTGGCTTCGGATCGGCATAGCATCAGCCGTTGCGCTCACTTGGGGAGTGAATCATCGGATGGAAGATCTTCCTCTCTGTCTCTCCTCCTCTCTGTATATCTGACTTTCCAATAAATAAATAAATCTTAAAAAAAAAAAAAACGGGCCCGGCACAGTGGCGCAAGTGGTTAAGGTCCCCGCCTTGCATGCCCGGGATCCCATATGGACGCCGGTTCTAATCCCGGCAGCCCCACTTCCCTTCCAGCTCCCTGCCTGTGGCCCGGGAAAGCAGTGGAGGATGGCCCAAAGCTTTGGGACCCTGCACCCGCGTGGGAGACCCGGAAGAGGCTCCTGGCTTTGGATCGGCATAGCATTGGCCGTTGCGGCTCACTTGGGGAGTGAATCATCAGACTGAAGATCTTCCTCTCTGTCTCTCCTCTCTGTATATCCGCCTTTCCAATAAAAAAATAATAAAAATAAATCTTTTAAAAAAAAACATAATGGGTAAGGCAGGAAAGTTTATAGGTGTGAGCAGGGATGTGGCAGGTGAACCACTGAGGCAGAGCAGAGGGGTGCGGCCCAGTCCCCGTACTTGTGGCGACCCATCATGTCTATGGATAGCCTTGACCAGCCAGGCTGGCACTCTGACATACACAGCCTTGCTGGTGGAAGCTCTGCCCTGGTTTCTGTGTGCCTGATGAGAAGGGGAACTACAAGAACAAAGGGAAGGATAAGGAAGTGGGTAAGAAACCACTCAGAATGAGAGGCCTGTGGTTTCTCAGATGGAACTCAGATACCCACAATGGACTTTAATCAAAACTTAAAATGCGTGTGCAACACTACTGAGAAAACGTAAAGATAATTCACAAAGGGTAACTCTGTGCTAACCTTGAGTCTGAGAACACGTGAAAAACTCAAGAACTGACAGCAACCCATTTCAGATACACAAAACAGGGCCTGGGCTGTGGCATGGTGTGCTAGCTTAAGCCACCGCATGTGGTGCCAGCATTCCGTATGAATGCTGGTTCAGTTCCGGTTGCTCCACTTCCAATCCAGCTCCCTGCTCACATGTATACCCAGCACCTGGGGTGCTGACTTGGATCCTACCTTTACTAAGAAGTACCTTGGAAGAGCAGCTCATCTACACGCTAGGGCAGGAAGAACCTAAAAGAGCAAGCGGTGGCTTCCTGTTGCAAACAAAGGCTTCCCCAGAGCCAGGCTACCTGAAGCATGAGAGGCCCAGATGGAGCGCCTGACCCTGGCTTCAGCTCAGGCCAGCCCTGCCCATTGCAGCCATTTGGAGAGTGAGCCAGCAGATGGGAAAACATCTCCCTGCCCCTCTGCCATTCAAAGAAGTCAAACAGGTTTTTTAAAAGTATGAAAGGCCTGCAGCTTCTGAGATGCGATTCAGTACAGCGGATGCCAGGAGTGCCCCACTCTGTGGAGAGCAGGTTGAGGCCTCCAGGAATCCCAGCCCTGGAAAGGGTTGGCCCGAGCATGACTGTCCACCAGCCCATACACACCAAGACAGCCTGTTCCTGCTCAGACTTGCGGGTGGCAGAAGGAGCTGCAAGGTGAGCTGAGAGAAATCACAACTCCAGAACCACACCTTAACAGAGGCACCTGCTTTTATTGTCTTACTTCTGTGCAGCGAGAACTCCAAACTAAGAAAGAAACACAGAGCTCTCTAAAAATGATATTCTCAAGCTATCCAGCAGAAGTGATCCAAGTACTGCTCTGTAGAGATAAATTCCCAAGCAGCTGAGTGAAAGTAAACTATCTAGGCAAACATCTGACCAATGGTTAAACCCACATCCCAGCTGGATACCTGGATTCAGGTCCTGACTCAGTTCCTGATCCAGCTTCCTGCTAACATGCTTCCCAGGAAGTAAGTGATAGCTCAGGTCACTAGTTCCCAACCACCCACATGGCAGACCCACATGAGCTCCTGGCTCCTGGCGTCAGCCAGTGCGGGCATCTGGCAGTGAACTAGCAGACTGTAGATCTGTCTCTTTATCTTTCAAATCAGCAATTCTTTCATTAAAAGAAAACAATCTGCTCAAAAATCAATGCCACCCCAAACACAGTCATACACTACTACACTAACAAAATATAGAGCTGTGAAAGAGGTTTTCAGATCATTCAGGAAATGCATCAGTGTGGAAGAACAGTAGAGATGATGACACAGAGAGCAGAGAGCTAAAGGAAGGTGGAGAAATGGACTCAAGATTCTTCCAAAGGGACTCGCGCAGGGACCGTAAGCAGCTGTGCACGGGAGGCAGTGACCAAGCAGAATCCCTAGTCCTGTCCTTAGTGACTGGGAGGAAGCTCTATCATTCACCGAGAGGCGAGCCAGACTAAAGGAGCAAGAGCTTGGCCAGGGGTCAACCTGTTAAGTTCGGGTTCCTTCCACACATTCATAGACTTCAACACTCAAATACAGAGCTGCAGCTAGAAGCAAGGCTGGGACAGCTCTTGCATATCCTGGCATCTCAACAGTATTCTACATCCTGCAGACTACCTGCCGGGCATCCTTTAAGGTGCAATTGAAGAGGACCTGCTGGAAGCCAGTCTCTGAAGCAGAGGGAGAGCTCTTGTGGTCTGCACCTCTCCTGCACACTCAGTGACAGTCTGGCCCGGGAGGCAAAGGATGTGACTGTATGAGGAAGTGAACGAACCTTCTGAGCTGCCAGACTCTGGCTGCTCTCGCTCAGAGCTGAGGTGGTGAAGTACCGGATGCACTCATCCAGCTCCGTCTGAGGCAGAGAGGCCAGCAGCTGCCTGAGCTCCTCTTCGAGCGAAGAATCCTGCAGCAATGGACACACAAGGCCATCACATGGGAGCGGGGCCCACAGCACAGCAGCAGCACCCCACGGCATCACAGCAAAAGAAATACACACACACACACACACACACACACACACACACACAAATTAGTGCTTTTAACCTTGAAAAAAATCACCCAGTGAAGTCAGAGAACAGTATTGTCATGGAAAATTCTACACTTCTACACATCCACTGCTTCAATCTGGAATACCTACTGTAATTAGAAGCCTCGGTTTTCACTTCAGGCCGGCTTCCTGACACGTGCAGGCAAAGGGACTTACTCCACCCCTTCTAACCAGAACGACTGTTGTTTTTTAATACTGTTTTCACTACTACATTTTTTCTCACAATTTCTATCTCGTGTTTTCTCTCTTTTTTTTTTTTTTCTCCAAAGTGCATTGCTAATAGGGAGAAAGAGAATACTGGCCTACCTGTATAGAAAATGACACAAACAAAAAGGGGTTTTAGCTCCTTGGCAGTGGTTCTACCAGGTGCTATTCTGCGCCCCAGGAAACAGCAATGACTGGAGACGCCTTTGGTTGTCACTCCTGGGGACGTGACCTGTGCTGCTAACACCTGCAGTGCCCAGAAAGCCTCTTACCCAAAATGTCAGCTGTGCTGGGAAAACTCACAGCAAATTTACAACAAGGGGTCAACTTACAGACGTTCCTACCCCATGAAGTTACTCAAGGAATGTAGCAGGAGCAGGAACTTTTATGTTGCTCAGGGCCAAGGGATCTTTTATAAACATCATTCAAGGCCACGCAAATTTACCAACCTACAAATCAGACTGCTGCAGATTCACCGAGTTAAGTCCCACCTGCGGTTGCCGTGGCAGGCTCAGACCAAACAAGTTCCCCAGGCTCCCACAGCCGGCAGGCCAGTTCTCCGCCCCTGGGGTACACACACTCTCACACCTTACTGCCCACTCGGGGGCTGGGGACTGACGTTCCCCTGAGAAGCACGATTTCAGCTCGACATGCTCATTTCCACACTGAGCCCATAACAGCTTCCTGGCTTTGCACCCAGAGTAAAGATGACATATTAAAGTACTGCTTACTGTCTGGATTACCTTATTTACTTACTTCCTTTAGAGATGGCAAAGGAGGTGGTGGGAGAAAAAAGCGAAGATCAGTCTCTTTGCTTCGTGCCAAACCGATAAGCGTCCTGGCATCGCAGGCTTGAGCCACGATCCTGTACTGGTAATCTGAGAAAAACGTGTGAGGGCAGCAAATCAGCTCACACTCATGCAAGACTCAAAAAGCAAACTATTGGAAAACGCTCTCGTGTAAAATCTCCCAGCTATTTTTCAAAACTACACCTGGACCACTGTTCACTAGGCTATCACACCAGACCCTTCAACAAACTTCTTAAAGTACCCCTGTTTGTACGCAGATAAAACTTGGCTCCGGCTGAAAATTCATTTAGATAGCTAGGCCAACAGACAGACAACTAAACATCTCAGTTTTAGGGCTGTTCTCTGGCTGCCAAGGGGTTTTCCTCATCCTTCACCACTGGAACTGCTCCATAGATTTTTGAAAATATTTCTTATACACGAGTCTATAAAGACTATCTAAATTATTTCCCTTACTGAATCTAATTCCCTTCTAATTTAGGTCAGAAACCAATAGCCAGGTTTGAGCACCATGGCACAACAAGATAAGCTGCCACTTGGCACATTTGCATCCTGTATCACAGTGCTGTTTCAAGTCCTGGCCACTCTGTGTCTCTAACCCAGTCTCCTGCTAATGTACCTGAAGGCAGTGGAGGAGACCCCAGGTACCTGGGCTCCTGGACCCATGTGGGAGACCGGGAAGAAGCCCCCAACTCCCGGCTCCCAGGTCCCGGGGCCTAGCTCTGGCCTGGCTTAGGCCCAGCTGTTATGAGTATTTAGGGAGGAAATAAGTAAACAAGAGATCTCTCTCTGTCTCTCTGCCTTTCAAATAAATAGTAAGTCTTATAAGAGAGAGGAAAAAGCAGGGAAGGAAGGAAATAAATAAGGAAGGGACAGGGAAGGAAGGAAGGAAGAAAGGAGAGAGAAAGAGAAAAGAACAGGAGAAAGGGAAGGAGGAAGGGAGGGCGGGCGAGCCAGAGCCGACCCTGGCAGGCCCCGTACCTTGCCAGTGGTGGGCCTTGGACAGCTCCTGCACGGCCTCCAGGCGCGCAGCCTTGTCGTCCAGCCTGCTCTTCCGCAGCAGCAGCCACACGGCACACTCGTGGTCTTCCACATCCACTGTGCTAAACGGTTCTTGGCAAACAGAAAAGCCAAGAATCCAGCTGAGGTGAGCAGGCGCGACAGCATGCTCTGTCTCACTTTCGAGATGGGCACTGCCAAGCATGTGGAACTTCCACGGGAGGGTCCTGTTCACACACCGGCACTGCTCTCGGTTCAGCCCTAATGCCTGGCTATGATTAGCATGGACTTCAACCACAATGCCATCATCGTCCCTAAGATCAGTAACCAACACCCACCAAAGTCATCCAGCCTCACTCCATTTCCAAATTTCCTTCAAAACTTCCTTCATGTTGAAATGTCTTTAGTCTCTCGTAATTCTAACACATTTTTCTGCATTTTCTTCTTCACGATGCCAATGTTTCAAGACATGAGGTTAGATCATCTGTAAACTTGCCTGGCTGTGAAATCCACTTTTTTTACATAGTATTTTCATTATGAAAAAGCATGAGAGGTATTTTCCAACAAATTTGAACTTCTGAACACACAAGAAAGAACAGGGTTTACTGAATCTCAGCATTTACTTAACTCTCTGACAGTAACACATCCAGAAAGATGAAAAGGATGAAACAGCCAGAGGAGTAGCCCCTAGAAATCAAACCAAGCCTAAGATTAAGTATGCTCAATAGAGCGTTACTCAATTTGTCATAACTGTCAGAGAAATGTTAATATAGGAGGGTTTTTTTTAAAAAAATAATTTCAGGTTGATCATTCACATGGATTTCAGAGCACCAGAGGTTTCCAAGTTATTTACTCGATGCTTGACATTCAATACTTACCAGCAAACGGGTTCCGGAAGATCTTGGCTGATACTGCCAAAACTTTTCTCACTGCTTTGTGAAGTTCTTTTCTGGCCTGGTAGGCAAACCCTAAAATAGTTGCAAACTTAAATAAAATCTAGATCATACTCTTAATGTTATACTCTAATACTTTAAAGAGAACGGTGTAAACCACAAGACTTTATTTTGTTTCACAAAAAAACTTACAAGATACAGTCTTTGGCCTTTTATTATCACTATTAAGATATTAAGGTTGGGGAAACTCTAAGCTCCAGATTTCAAAACAAGATTGCTTCTCCAAGTATGGAAAAAGTAAAAACAGAACAGTAACACTAACGTATGCTATCACAAACCTCTTACCCCTAACAGAGGATTGGCAACCCTAGGAAAATGTCCCTTACAGTCAGCCCATCTTGAACCAACCGGGAAGATACCTTCCCAAAGAGAAGAAGCCTACCACATTATAGCAAGCTCAAACAATTATCAACTGCACATGCAAGTTCACAGAAACTCAGGAAGGTGATAATAACAATCTCCAGTGTCAGGGCAGCGAGGTGACAGCCCACAGCGAGGGCAGCAGCAGGGCCTGCCGCTCTAAAGGAAATCAGTGCTAACAGGCACAGGTTGGCCTGCGGTGCAGGGGCCAGAGATGTGACTCACAGGCAACCCAAACCAGGAAACACACACCGACTCACTCAGCATCTGCGAACGAGGACCAGGATGCTGACAGGTGAATGTGCTAAGTAGTAATGGCAGGCTTTCTAGCCTTAGTAGCAGATAACAGGATGCTGGTGTTCGGTCCCTCTCATGAGTCTGCTTTGCATGACTAAATCCTCTTAAACAGAAACACCCCTGAGCTAAATGACACTCCGGTGTCTGCACCCACCACGCCGACAGCCAGCGTCTCGACTGATGGACATAGTAAGGTGAGATTTTCAGGTTCAGACCACAGTAGCCTGATGGTTTTCATTTACTTCTAGAAGACATGGGTTAAGTAGGAAACCTAACATGTGGTCTTCAACAATTCTTTAGACCTGGTTCTCCTTAGGCTCGGTGATTCATAGGAGTAGGCTGAAGCTATCTTCTTAATACTGCTTTAAATAGACACATTTTAGAAATTTTTCACAAAGGTGGGGATACTTTAAAGAACTCACCAAGGTTCTCTCTTTTATCTAAAGAGACTCTGTGCAGATATATGTAAGATTTCATCTTTTCTCGCTCTACCACCTGCGTGTCTAACGTCAACGATTTCTTCAAGGCCAGAACTTCATAGGTGAGAAACAAAGAGCCTCTTAAAGAGAAACAAAAGTCACCGTCAGCACAGGATCCGAACCCAGCCAAAGAGCCAGTCTTCTCTGAGCTTCTTAGAGACACAGAGTGTGCGCAGGGACGTGCGGACGCACAGCCCCCTCAATGAGTCACGCAGACCCCGCAAGCGCGAGAAGCTGGCAGGAGGACCCAGGCAAGCGCGAGAAGCTGGCAGGAGGCCGCCAGCCCATGGGGCGTCCCACCTCAGCTCAGTCCCACCATCTCCTCTCCACAGTAATTACTATTCTGATTTTTATAATAATTTTGCTGGTTTTTTTTTTTTTTACAACTTTATCACCTACACACACGCATTATGAAGCAGCAGAGCTCAGTTTTGCCTGATTCTGAATTTTGTATGAAGACACACTATATTCTCCTTCGCTCAGCCTTGTCTTTGTAACTCATCCAGTCACTGCAGGTAAACACAGCTCCCGCGCCGTAACTGCACACAGCCTGTGTTTACCCACTGCAGAGAGACCACGGTACGGTCCCCCTCCACCACAGGCAGACGTTTAAGACAGCTCAGGTCTGAGTCTGTCCCAACACTGCTGTTACACAGCTTGCACATTCACACCGGGCACACGTCCAGATGGAGACTGACATACTTCCATCCCAGTTCAGTCTTGCCAGATAATGCCAAAGGCTTTTGCTCCAACATTAGCCAGTTCCTACTTTTATCACCAGCAAGTTAAAGTGTCTGCTTTCTTAAAAGCTATACCTAAGGTCAAATTTCAAATATGCCACTTACCCACAAATGGGAAAACAATCTTTTCTTTCTAACTAGACTGACCTCCATGCTCCCCACATCCAGACGAGATGCTGCGCTTCCCCTGGACTCGGCACTTGGCAGCGCCAGCTGTCCTGTGCCCTCTCTGACCCGGGGTTTCTACCCAGATGCAAAAGAGTGAGTCACAAAGGCCAGAGCCTAGCTGGCCCCCAAACAACTTGCATCTAAAGCTGCTTTTGTGTTTATCCTAATTTTAAAAAAGTACTAGCAAATATAGTCGCACAGTATCAGACAATCATTGACCATCTGTCCACCTCCCACCCTCTTCCAAGAGGAACGGGGAGCCCTGCACCTGCCCAGGACAGCACGCCCACACTCCTGGTACGCTTTTCTCAGTCAGCGGCTTCTCCTTCCAGGACAGCTTCACGGCGCTCTGAGAATCCCCCGAAATAACTGTGACTACAGCCACTTCTGACCTCTTGGCCCACTCCACAGCTTGGCATGCGAGGTCACGTAAAGGCGCACTGTCCCCCTGCGACAGAGCCAGGTGCCCAGAGTCCTCCCTCACGCTCGGACCCAGGAAAGATCAAGAGCTGACAGCCATCCGTCTGTCCTCTCCGCGGCCCTAAAGTGCCCTCTGACACTTCAAACTCAAGCCGAGGAAGACTTCACAGCTGACACTTACCCTAAGATAAGTGATCCAGTAAACTTGATCAGATTTCCTTCAAAGAGAAACAAAAAAAGCCAATATGATCATTTGCATTTTTACAAGTCTGGCAGGAAATGGGTAATGGTGTTGACCTTTAGCTAATTCATCCGCAACTTGGTAAGAAGCCATTGCCTCTTCTATTCATAAAATCAGGTGCAGCCTGCACGTGCTCTATCCCCAGGCACAGCAAGTCAGTCAGCAAGCACTGGACCCAAAAACATTACCTGCACTTCCAGCGTGGCATTCCCACCCTCCCCACCCCCCACCAGATCTCTAGAGACCCTAGACCCTGGGCCACTTCTGGAAGCGCCAGGACTTCAGAACGTCCAGGGGGGGTAGTATGTCTGGAAGCTCACGCCCCTTCTCAGTTAAGAATCAACTGAAGAGGGACTGGTGAAATAGCTCATGTTGCTAAAATCCTCCACCTTGCAGTGCCAGCATTCCAAACGGATACTGGTTCGAGTCTGGACTGCTCCACCTCCCATATCCTGGGAAATCAGTGGAGGATGGTCCAAAGCCTCGGGACCCTGCAACTACGTGGGAGACCTGGAGAAGTTCCTGGATCCTGAATCCTGGCTTCGGATCAGCTCAGTTCTGGCCAATGGGGAGTGATCCAGTGGATGGAACATCTTTTTGTCTCCCCTTCTCTCTATAAATCTGCCTTTCCAATAAACTAAATAAAATCTTTAGAATTAACTGAATAAAGGAATGGGGAGAGGGTGGTGTCTTCCCATCACTACTGCCACTAAACTATGGGCTGTTTAGTCAAGTGGCCACTCCCAGAGGAATTACAATTGGTGGTGGATCAGCACCACGGGCAGGTAGGCCCATTTAAAATACAGGTCACAAGACTGATTACAAATTTTTCTTTGGAATTTGGAAAAAAAATTTGTTATTATTATTTTTTTAATTAGAAAGGCAGAAATACAGAGAGGAGGAGAGACAGAGAGGAAGATCTTCCGTCCAATGATTCATTCCCCAGGTGGCCGCAATGGCCAGTGCCATGCCGATTCAAAGCCAGGAGCCAGAAACTTCTTCCAGGTCTCCCACGTGGGTGCAGGGTCCCAAGGCTTTGGGCCGTCCTCAACTGCTTTCCCAGGCCACAAGCAGGGAGCTGGATGGGAAGTGGAGCTGCCAGGATTAGAACCGGTGCCCATATGGGATCCTGGCGTGTTCAAGGCAAGGATTTTAGCCGCTAGGCCACGCCGCTGGGCCCTGGAAAACATGTTTTATATTAAAATCAGTAATAATAACCTCCTGGCAGAGAGTGGTAACTGCCATCCAGCCTGATTACCCACAGTCAGCTAGCTCCCCTGCAGCCCCCTGGGGCCCCTTGGAGATATCTCTGGGGCCCGGAAGGCACACAGCCTGCTTCCCTAACATGAAGTAAACCCGTCGCTCATGAATTTGCTGTGCTAGCGATATGAGAAAACCTCCCTTCTCTGTCCCTATTTCTCCTTTTGTCTTTAGAACACAGAATCGGAATTTTCTGGAGGAGAAGGATTTATCCTAAAAACAGATCGGTCTTCAAAATGACGAGGAAACTCCATGGGAGCAGGGAGTCCGTCAGTCAGCACTGCCCTCTGTGGCTCCCAGAGCAGAATCCGGCACGTCGTGGAGGCTCAGCAGCTAAATCCTCGCCTTACACATGTCAGGATCCCGTATGAGCATTGGTTCATGTCCTGGCTGCTCCACTTCCACCCATCTTCCTATCTGTCGCCTGGAAAAGCAGTAGAGGTTGGCCCAAAGCCTTGGGATCCTGTTCTTGTATGAGAGACCCAGAAGAAGGTCCTGGCTCCTGGCGTCGGATCAACTCAGTTCCGGCTGTTAAAGCCATTTGGGGAGCGAACCAGATGATAGAAGATCTTTCTGTATCTCCTTCTTTCTGTAAGTCTGCTTTTCCAATAAAAGTTAATCTTTAAAAAAATTGTATTTATTAGAGCCAGCATGGTGGCTCAACAGATTAATCCCCCACCTGCAAGTGCAAGCATCCTGTGTGATCCCGCTTGGAGTCTCAGTTGTTCCACTTCCAATCCTACAAAGATGCTCTAAGTCCTTGGGCCCTGCACCCATGTGGGAGACGTGGGAGAGGCTTCAAGCTCTGAGCTGTGGACCTGCCCATCTCCAGCCACTACGGTCTCTTTCTTTTCTATAAATCTGTCTTTTGAATAATAGAAATAATAAAAAGAATCCTTAAAAAAACAAATAAAAGAAATAACAATGCTCAGAGGAAATAGACAGTTTCATTCTTCCATTCCACAAATGCCATTTTTTAATTTTATTTTTATTGTTAAGACTTTGGGCCATCTTCAACTGCCCTGCCAGGCCACAACCAGGGAGCTGATGGGAAGTAGGGCCACCAGGACAAGAACCAGATCCCATATGGGATCCTGGCATGTGCAAGGTGAGGACCTTAGCCACTAGGCTACCACACTGGGCCCAGACAAATGCCATTTGATCACCTACTACACACCATGTATAACAACCTAACGGATATACAATGATATACAAGGTATTGCCCTTGCTGAGTAGTGCAGTCTTGAAGAGCAAGTTGAACTCTCTGGAATGACAAGTGGCATGTGGAACCTGGCCCAGGACGTCAGGGGAAGCGTGCTAAGGGGAGGCCAGGCTGCAGTGTGCAGAGCAGATCACAGCAGGTGCCAGCCCCGACAGCGCCAGGACAACCTCCCTCCTCCTCGCCCACTGCAGTCCTAGGACCCAGCACTGTGCCTGCTTTCACAAAAGCTTATGCAAAACCTGCTGAGGGAGAAAGCAGGGCTAGGTCAGCTTAGAAGGAAGATGGACCTGACAGGGAAAATTGAAAAGGTCTAAGAATACAGAACACGATGGCCCGGGGCCTGCACAGCTGATGTGTAAACAAATCGGAGCCTTTTTCGGGGGCTGAGTGAGTTTTGTGGGTTACTGCAGAGCCAGCCCACATCCTGTCATGCTCCCTGTAAGGAACTGCACTCACGGATCTCTGTCCAGCGCGTGGGAATGCGGGGCGAGGCGGCGGAGCTGGCGACGCTTCGGCAGCAGACGGCGCAGTAGGCAGCCAGGGCCATTCTGTAGAGGGGAAGAAGCGCTCAGATTCAGCATCTCACTAAGCTCCAGCACTCTGAGAACGTGCTGCCATCACCGTACGTGGCCCACGGAGGCAGACCTTACAGCAGCAGAAAAAAACCTCTCCAATTTAAAACAAAAACATGCCTCCCTTAAAAGGAAGAAGGGATGTGCGTGTGGCCAGTTAAGACACCCACAGCTCATGTCAGAGGACCCGGGCCCGATCCCCGGCTCTGCCCTCGGCCCACATCAGGGGACCCTGGCCTGAACCCAGCTCTGGCCTCGGTCCATGTCAGAGGACCCGGGCCCGATCCCCGGCTCTGCCCTCGGCCCACATCAGGGGACCCTGGCCTGAACCCCAGCTCTGGCCTCGGTCCATGTCAGGGGACCAGGGCCCGAACCCCGGCTCTGCCCTCGGCCTGCGTCAGGGGACCCGGGCCTATTCCCTGGCTCTGGCTGCAAATCCCAGCTTTCTGTTAACACAGACCCTGGAAGACAGCAGCAATGGCTCAAGTGGCTGGACTTCTGCCACCCATGTGGCACATCCAGACTGAGGTCCAAGTCCCAGCTTGGCCCCTCAAACACTGTAGGCATCTGGGGGTGAACCAGGGGATGGGGTAAGTGCTCTGTCTCTCAACGAATAATTTTTAAAAACCTGAAAGCAGATTTATTAGAACAGCATTTTGCTTGTACTTTGATTATTCTTCAAACTGTACCCAATTCTGAAGCAATGAGGATATAGGAAAATACATATTATTAAGCAGAATATGATGACATTTAAAGATTAAATGCCTCTTGAGAAAAAAACAACACACGCAGGGGCTGCTATTACAGATAAAGCCGCTGCCTGCAATGCTGGTTCCTGCGAGGGCCCCAGTTTGTGTGTGGACTGCTCCAGTTCCAATCCAGCTCTCTGCTTCATGGCCTGGGCAGCGCAGCAGAAGGTGGTCCATGGGTCTATGGCACTCACGTAGGAGACCTGGATGAAGCTCCCGGCTCCCAGTTCGGCTTGAGCCAGACCTTGCCACTGCAGCCATCTGAGGAGTGAACCAGCGGACAGAGAGCTCTCCCTCACTCTGTCAATCTGTCAAACACATGCAGACATAAACATTTAAATCCACATGTATGTATGTTTATCTCTGATGACTGAAGGTCCCACAGGAACAAACAGCTCTAAATGAAAGATGCACGTGGAACCCGTGGAAATCCTTGGCCCTCGCCAGCTCCTTCAGGATGGTTCCCAACACTGCTCAGTCTCTTTGCAATTTAATTATGAACTGCTGGCCAACTCACTCCCCAGCTGAGGCTGATCTGAAGGATGGGATCACATCTAGAACAAGTCGGTATTCTAGAATCCTGTTAGAGTCCTGTGACGCTTGTGGTCATGGAATTGTTATAAAGGAATACAGGGGACGAGGAGGATCCCAGGTAAGAAATGATTCCTTGGTTCGGGATATTAAACCAGTAAAAAAACAAAATAAAAACTCCAGCAGCTTTCTAGAGGTTAGGAATGGGAATTACTTGCTATACATGAATTTTAAAAAGCTCATCAGAAATAACACACACACATCAAGAGAGGGTTTCAACTGTTTAATTGTGATTCTATAACAACGATGGGTGACTAAGCCAACTAGCTGAAACAACAGGTAAACATGTAAAGGTCACTGTTTTTTTTTTTAAATAAAGATTTATTTATTTTTATTGCAAAGTCAGATATACAAAGAGGAAGAGAGACAGACAGGAAGATCTTCCGTCTGATGAGTCACTCCCCAAGTAACCACAATGGCTGATGCTTCACTAATCCAGAGCCAGGAGCCAGGAACTTCCTCTGGTCTCCCACACTGGTACAAGAACCCAAGGTTTTGGGCCGTCCTCGACTGCTTTCCCATGTCACAAACAAGGAGCTGGATGGGAAATGGGGCTTAGGGGATTAAAACCAGTGCCTATATGGGATCCTGGTGCGTTCAAGGCGAGGACTTTAGCTGCTAAGCCACAGCCCCGGGGTCCAAGGTCACTGTTTTAAAGGTCATTGTTAATTCTTTTCTTATTGATCTGTTGATTTAAGTGGGCTGATTACTACCACTTTTCTATAAGAAGCAGATAATGATAGAAATGGGTCAGCATTGTAGCTTAGCGCATTAAGCTGACACCTATAATGATGGCATCCTTTTTAGGCTATGGTCTGAGTCCCAGCTGCTAGCCTACTAACGCAGAAGATGGCCCATGGCTTGGGCCCCAACACCCATATGGGAAACCCAGCTGAAGCTCCTTCCTCTGGCCTGGCCTGGCCCTGGCCACTGTGGACGTCTGACCGAGCGAATCGGTAATGGGTAGATAGATCTCTGTATCTCTCCCCTCTGTAACAGTCTTTCAGATCAATAATCTTTCTAAAACAAATCAATATTTCTTTAAAAAATGATAAACACACTGTAATAAAGTAGATCTTCATAAAACCATGGCAGAGTTAATGTTCAGATTTGCATTTTAGCTTTCGGTTCTTGAAAATTGTGCTAGAATTGTAGGACAAAAATGTGGATTGCTTCTCCGACCTTGACCCCTACCAGAGAAGGTCAATGGTGAAGCACAGAGCTAGTCCTCAGGGTAGGGCTCTGCCTGCAAATCTTTCCTAAGCTTATTAAACTCTCCTCCTCCCGCAGCTGCCCTTGCCTATGGCCTGGGTAGAATTCTGAGTACACCCCTGAGCACATGCTTCCCCCACTCCCCATCCTCTTTCCTCGGCCACACCGCAGGCCTCAGCAAGAACAACCCCCCATTCTAAACTCAACCCTCAGGTTGCCCCAAGCACAGAGGCCTGGCTCTTCCAGGGGTGCATAGCCATACCACTGGCCTCAATCGCTCAGTGCTGCCCACCCAGTGCCCACTGCTGCCTCCCCAACACACCAGCCCCTTCTCTACTCTCCCATACCCCTCACCCGAAAGGCAAGTCCTCTGCTCCAAGCTGGGCAGGGAGTGGACAAGAGGTGACCGGAGTCAGCTCTCTTTGCCCCCAGACCACTTTTACAATCCATGTATACACAGGCCTCTGACCGCCCCCTACAGTCCCTACAGGTCATCCTGCACCCAATTTCACTCCAGACAGGATCCCTCTCCCCTCCCCCATACCTACAGTCAGAACCCAAACAGAAACGAAAACACAAAATTACAAATACCAAACCTAGACACTAATGGGGGAAGTTATTTCAAATGGGAAATCACTTTAGTTACCAGCGTGTCAGAAATAGAGCAGCTTTCTTTTGGGATCTCATGACCAGGAACACCAGGCTCCCCTCTCCAATCCCAAGCAGCTGACGAGGCTCTGGTGTCTCCAAGCCAGCGCTAATGGGTTAAGGGGGGCACCCTGGAAGGGGCAGCTGGTAGCAGGCGTTAGGCGACTGGGGCCGTGCCCTGGGAGGGTGGCTCTCCCAAGAAGGAGAGCATGCCTGGAGTTCAAGTTGGGTCTAGCTCCTCCCCCTGTGGTCATTCCTCTGCACCTCTCACACTGGGCTTCCACCCCAGCGGAGACCATGGGGTCACCCGACACAGCCCCCAACCCATGAGCCAAACTGTCCTTTTTCTCCACAGAAAGCTCCTCTCAGGGACTGGAACGTCACAAACAGCTGGCAACTGCACTCACATGCAAAGGCTTTGGGTTAGAGCCAGCCTTCCCTCTAGACCGTGAACATGACCACGCCGATAATCCCCACCCCGAGAAAGAGAAGGACCAGAGAGGCCCCAGCTGCCAGCTCCACAGGAAGGCCTCCACGTGGGCTGCCCCGGCCTGGCTCTAAACAAGCCTCGGCCTGTCCCCGTTTCAGTTTTGAGCAAAAGGTCTTGTCCCTTTCTGTGAGCAAAAGGCAAAGAGTCTGCACCTCATCGCCTCACTCCCAGGGTCCCTGACTTACAGTACTCTCTGCTTTCCTTAATGCCCTCTCTGCTCTTTCTAGGGGAGAAATGCTGGTTGTCCACTGTCTTCCCATCAAAAGCAAAAACAACCAAATAACCCTGAAAACTACCCCCCTTAGTTCAGTAGTCCTTCTAGCACCCAGCTTCACCTTCCCCGCACAGGAGCCCCGAGTGTCTCGCCCAAGGTAACACACGCCTCAGGCCACTTCTGGGGGTCACTGCCCTCACCTGTCCACCTCAAAGCCTTGGTCTCCCCACTCTGAGATATTCTGGACCACTCCCTCCAGCTTCTACGGACACCCCGCCTCTCACGGCTGTACATTCTGTACACTCCTTCCCGTTATTCATTCAAACACTGCACAGCAACTATTACTGTCTGGGGAAATGAACCAGCAGATGGAATATTTCTCTGTCTCTTCCTCTTTCAAACAAAGAGCTTTTTAAAATGCTATATAAATGAAGAACAATATCATTATATTCCCAAATGAGAAAGTGCTGTAAATCCAATCTGAGGGCCAGCCTTGTGGCCTGGCAGTGTGGGCTCTGATGGCTCACACCAGAGGGCAGGATGCAGTGCTGCTCTGCTTCCGGCCTGGCCCCGGCCAACGCCCAGGGACAGCACAGGAGACAGCCCACAGGCCTGGGTGCCCGCCACCAGGTGGGAGACCGCCACGCAGCCCCACGCTCTCAGCTTGAGTCTGACACAGCCATGCCTGCTGCAGCCATGTGGGGAATGAACCAGCAGATAAAAAAATCTCTTTCTCTCCTCTGTCACTCTTTCAAGGAAATCAGCCCTAAAATCATAATAAATAAATAAATAAAATCCTGAAAAGATTCAGTTTTAAAAAGTCTAGTCTCATCTCTCTTCATAGGTATTTTTATCTAATATATTAATTCCATTATATTTTTAATTATCCCAAAGGAGAATACTTTTTAAAAATAATTTCGTGTTTTTTAAAAAAAAGTTTTTTTTATTTGGAAGCAGAATTACAGAGAAAAGGAAAGACAGAAGATTGTACATCTGCTGGCTCACTCCCCAGATGGCAGCAGCAGCTGGACTGGGCTGGCCAAAGCCAGAGGCCTAGAACTCACATGCTGGTCGCAGGTGCCCAACAACTTGAACCACCTTCCCAGGAACATTAGCCGGGTGTTAGAAGCAGAGCAGCTGGGACTCAAACTGCCACTGCACTAAGGGATGCGTGACAGGCAGCAGTTTAACCTGCTACCGTGCCAGTCCCAGAGGTCTGATCTTGGTAACTTATTTCATCCATTTTCTTGCACAGCTACCCATCCTCAATGGCAGCTTAAAAAAAATCCTTCCCAGGCAGAAGGAAAACCTCGGGGGATGAACGGTGGTGATGGTGGCTCAGCCTGCACGCCACTGAACTAAACGATATAAAATGAGTATAACGGCATATGTCAAGCTTAACTCACAACAAAAAATACAAAAAGTTTCTGACAATGCAGTGTCTTTCTTCTGCTAGGTATCTTGCAGGCGTCTCTTTCACAGAGATTTTTAATCCAGCAGGACATGGCAGTTGCAGGGGCGTGAAGCAGGAACGTGCCGGAGTTCAGCTCCAGCCGAGCTTGGAACTCGAGAAGGGTGCGTGGAGTCGGCAGTAAGGAAAGACTCGGACACCGTCACTTGGTGCCCTTTTGCTGCAGCTCAAGAAGAAGCTGTCCTGTTTACTTACTCAGACACAGCACAAGCCTCTGCGCAGACGTTTGATTTTGCTATCTTTAACTTCAGAACTAAGCCAGCATGCACAGATGTTCAATTACTTAATTTTTACTTCATGGTCAACCAGGTGCTGTTAAAGATAATTCTGTCGGTTACTAGAATTAGTTTCTTCAAAGCAAACCATTCTTCATTCTTCAATAGTAGCCATTAGGCGACAGCCAGGACTCCGAGGCCAAGGCACAGGTGGTCACCTGCCAATTAGTAATATATTCCCACTACATTTCTATTTCCTCCATTCCTCTATCACTTAACGGGAGAAATACATCAAAAGGGAAAAAGCATAGATCCAAGACAAAAAGTTTCAGCCTTACAATGCAGGTTCTAAAACCCCATAAAGTCAAACAATAATCCAAAGTATATCTCTATGATGTTAATAAAATCGCCCTATATTTCCTCTAGTTAAAAAATTATGAAAGCAGCTAAAACAACTACATTTTCTATGCTCTAAAGAGTTGCAAGGACAGGATAACCTTTAAGATCACAGTAACTATATTTTTTGCCATAGCAGTTTCTGCTCATACTCACTTCACTTCCATTAGTTTGTAAAATTCTTGTCAAGCCATTTCCCAGAAGGAATGCTACGTGTCTGGTCTAGGGTAGGCACATAATAAGGTGTCCAGTAACGGCATGGGCTTAATTGTACTTCTGTGCGCAGCTAAAGGCCCACTCACCAGGACATTCTCAGTAACATTAACTCCCAGGTTCACATCAGTTACAAAAGCCATCTCACAGGGGCAAACAACAATGCCTCAATGGATTACAGAATTCTTAGTGGGGTGCTTGAGTGTCCATGCAAAAAGGGGTGAGACTGTGTCAAGGTGGTCAGAGAGACATCTGCCGAGCCCTGCCAAACAGCTGGAAGCTCCCCCGGGCCCTGCCAAGCAGGGGAGCTATTCTCTTCACACCTTCCTGTCACCCACACCTACTGCACGGACCCCAGCAGGAATGTAATTTTCCTTAATTCCACGGGAGTGCCAAGACCCCAGACCCTTCACTGAGGAGGGCTTTCCACCTGCTCTGCTAGGCCACTCGGTCCTGTCCTGAGCCCCCACATGCACACTCATGTCCTTCTGGCTCTTTCTTCTGCCCCAAACAACTGCTTTTCTATCCCCAGCCGACACCGTGCAGTCTTAAGAATTCCAAAGCCTGGAATGCTAGCCAGAAAGAACGTCAGCTTCCTTTTTCCTCTTAATCGACCCAGCTATCCTTGGTTTTTGCCTTTTCATGTAAATGTCGTGTTTCAGGAAAATCCAACACGGTGATTTTAACTAGCATGGCATTGAAGTTGCAGCCCAGGGAACCTACTGCCTCTGACACTGTGCCTTCCCACACCTGAATACCGTGTGTTTCTCCATCACTCAAGCCTTCCATGTGTTTCAGCCATGCATCATTTCCTGCTTACAGGACTACACAGCTTCGGTCTGATCTACTTCCAGACACCTTACAGTTGTGCAAGCTGCTATGACTAATATCCCTTATCTCTACTAAAACTCTCAGCAGGTGGCTGGTGTAATTTTAAAAAAATATTTATTTATTTTTGCTGCAAAGTCAGAAATACAAAGAAGAGGGGAGAGACAGAGAGGAAGATTTTCTATCCACTGGGTCACTCCCCAAGTGGCCAAAACGGCCAGAGATGAGCCAATCCGAAGCCAGGAGCCAGGAACTCTTCTGGGTCTCCCACATGGATGCAGTGTCCCAAGGCTATGGGAAAGCATCCTTTCCCAGGCCACAAGCAGGGAGCTGGATGGGAAGTGGAGCTGCGGGGATTAGAATCAGCGCTCATATGGGATCCTGGTGCGTGCAAGGCGAGGACTTAAGCTGCTAGGCTACCGCGCCGGGCCCTGGCATGAGTTTTTTATTCAAAGTCTTCCTATGGCCAATTGTAAACGCTCTCCAAAGCACCCCCTTCCAGCCACTATCACACACCGCATAGTCCCTTCCTGCTACTATCATGGATTCTCATCTCTCTGCCTCCACAGGCATTAGTCACTCCTTCACCTTTATCCCCCAGATGTCCGGGCGACGGTCTGGCACACAGCAGGTGCACAAGAGCATGCTGAACAAGCAGGTGGGGATGTTTAAAATCGGATGCCTGGGAAAGAAACACCAGGAGAAAACCGGGTTTTCCAGTGAGGAGGTGAAACGAAAACCAGTTCCGTCTGAGCAGTGGAGCTGGGATTACTCAGCCATCAGCCCAGCGCCTGGAAGGCAGAGCTGACTGTCCAGGGCAGAAGGCAGGCGAGCAGGGAGGGGGCCCTACGGGGACAGTGAGCAGGGCAGCTGGCCGCCTCCTAAGAGACCAAGTGAACGCAGGTAGAAGGATCATCCACTTTCCCTGGGCAAGCGCAACGTAAACACCTCAGGCGCTCGGGCGAAAAATAAAAACATCCATCTTATCAGGTGACAGCATTGAGCGCGCGACCCGTCAGGCCACAGCGGCGGAGGTCCGAAGGCACTTCCCGCCGGGAGTGACCGGCAGGGGCTCCTTCCCCGCCCCGCTCCCCGGGCCGCGACCACCGCCCTCCCAGGCCTACCTGGCGGCCTGCGCGCACCGCCCGCCCCGGCCGCTCGCCGGGAACCCACAGCCGGAGAGCGCCCGTCGCCTCAGCCGGCCACGTGATCCGGCCCCGCCCCCGACGCCCGCGGAGCCACGCCCCCGCGGCCCGCCTCCCGCCGGCGCGCTCCTCCCCCACGAGCGCGATGACGTAGGGCAGCGCAGACGCAGTCTGTGGTCGACGCGCTGTGTGGGCGGAGGTCCGTGGCGAGCCTGGGGAGGATCCGGGCGAGCGAGGTGCGTGGGAGACTGCGAGAGGCCGCGGGAAGAGAGAGGGCGGCGGAGGAGGAAGAGCCGGAGGTCTGGGTGCTCTAGACGCTGGGGTGTCGGGCTCTGTCCGCTCCCCCCACGCCCATAGTGTAGAGGGCGGGCCAGGGGGGCACAGCTCCTGTCTGAAATGGGGTGACGGGGCACCCTGTGATTTTGCGGGTCCTTTGCGATCCTCCCGTTGAGATCTTACCCGTTATTGCTGCCTCGAGTGGGGAACTGATACCAGCCCCCTTTTATCTCTGGGTGGGGCGCCCTGGGGCGCAGCTCGCTTCCCTGGGTTTTTATTGGCCTTGGGTAGAATGGCTAGTTAAGATCCATGCTTTCTTAACAGCCCGATGGACCCAGTTCTGTTCAAAGAGTGTATGTTTCCGCCGTTGTTAGTCCTTAACCCAACGGTGAACGGTTGTGCCTCGTTTCAGGAAAGGATCAACCTGACGATTCTGAATTACCTTTTCGTTAGTTTTCCCGAGATCACCTGCACCCTCCTGGCTGGACAAAGATGGTCAACGTGTTGAAAGGAGTGCTTATAGAATGGTCAGTAGTTTCGATACTTCCTGAATTTTCAGTGTACCTGCTGTAACAGGATATACACGTAAATTGTTCTAAAGTCAGATCCCTTTTGAAGATCATTTCCATTGTGCAACCTCCGTGTCTGTTGCATTCACGTAAGGGGCACTGGGTCCCAACGACTTTTGAACAGAGCCAGCGTGTTTGCGAAATCGGTCTGATGTGAACAGCAGTACCTGCATTTTCTTCGAACCATCTGAAGTTGACTAGAGTGTTAGGGCCTGCAGAATTCCAGGACCTTCGTGAAGGACCTTAGAGGCTTGCGAGTCACTGGCTTAAAATCCAAACTGCAAACTCAGTGTCTCATCAGTCACTCCGCGGGAGCCCTGACCTGGGCTGCTGGTACTGTGAGGTTGCGCAGGGCGGGGAAGGGACATGGACAAAGGTGGGACGTTTAGAGCAGCATCATCGAGTAGGAACAGAGTGTAAACCACATATGTAACTTTGAATTTCTTAGTGGCCACCTTAGAAAATAAAATGAAACGGGTGAAGTCAACATTGTATTACCCCACCGCATTCAGGATATTCTCTTAACTCATACTGAGTCTTCCAAAAAAAAGTCTTTAAAGGCCAGTGTGTGTTCTGCTTTTGCAGCGTATCTCAGCGGTCAGCCGCTGATCCAAGTGCTTTCTGGTGGGGTGTGGCTTGCAGACCCCATGATGGGTAGTGCAGGTTGGGAGTTGGGGTGTAGGAGACCCTGACAGACAGTTCAGAAGCAGAGGCCGTGGTGTTTCCCGAAAGTGAGTTCGTTGTGTCCAGGAGTGGGAAGGGTGGGTGCTGTGAGGACAGGGGAGGCCAAGGGCTCTTCCAGAGGAGTGAAAGGAGGATGCCAGCTTCCATTAGTGCTGCATGCTCCATGGAGAATTGTCGCTGTCCTGCAGCGACAGACTTGGTGCACGGAGCCGGTAGTAACACGCATGAACTACTGACTGATAGTCAATAGCTGAAGTTTATTAGTGGCATCAGACTTTGTACACTGAGGGTCATATGGGATAAGGGAGGAGGTATTGAGCTCATCAACAAACCCATCCACTGTTTCTAGACTCTTGTTTGGAACTCCTTTTGTTTTGTATGTTCTACCAAGTGTTCACATGCCGTCCATTCAACTGCTCTCATGCAAATGACATCCAATCAGTTACACAAAAGGTATCCATTCTCGGTTGTTCTCTAGGATTTATGGGGAGGTGTGTATTATGAGATAAAGATGTAAATTAGCTTTTTGGCTTTGAAACAAATATAGTAACTGCCAATTATGCGGAGAGCTCCTTTGTCACAGTTCTGCTCCTTTTTGTGTGGTCTCATGTCTCATCTCAGATCCACTCTTTTGTTTGTCATTGTGGTCATTCTAGAGTAATTGTGGAGTAATTTAGTGGCAAAGTCACCCTTTGGGTATGATAGTAAGAATTGTATTAAACATATTTTGATTTGAAAATAAATTAATGAGCCCCTGAGGAAGCATCACACTCTCTGGGAGGAGTGCAGATTTGCAATGGGATCTGAAGTGTCTGAGTTGCGCTTGCGTCCTTTTGCTCTCGCGCTGTCCGGCCCCTGAATCTGGCCTGAACCTGGGGGCTGTCAAGTTTGGCGTGTTTCCCTGAGCAGCAGCAGCAGCAGCTAATTTCCTGGAAAGGCAAACTCTAGGCATGCCTTGGGCACAACAGTCAGACCCCATGTGGTACACCTGTACCCCACTGCCTCTGTCCCAGTCCTGACTCTGTCTCCACCCTCGGAGCTGCAGCTGATGGCTCGAGTGCTCGAGGCCCTACCACCCAGGGGGGAGGCTTGGTGAGTTCTGGGCCCTCCCGGCTTCAGCTTGACCCAGGCCCAGCTCTTGGAGACCCTTGGAGCGTAAACAAGCACAAGAGTGATCTTTTTCTCTCCCTTTCTCTGGTTTTCAAATAAATCCGATTTCCGAAGTCTGCTACATCAGAACTGTCCTGCAAAGGATCTTGGGAAGATACATTTGAATGTTGGGAATTAGCGTGACCAGCTTCAGTCATAACCAGTTCCGTGGAGAATTATTTTGCGTGAAGACTCTTAATTTGATTTTCCCTTTCAAGTTCTAAAGAGTGTGCTGTCCAGTTTTTCAAGAGGATGATTCTGCCTTCCTAAACATACAAATCTTTCTGTCCCCCCCACCCCACTAAAAAAAAAAAAAAAAGTAAGTAGTTTAGCGTAAAGTGGTTGGCCAGAGCTGGTGGTTCCTGCTCCGTGTCGGGTGTAGGTGTGGGCTGGTCCCTGGAAGAGTACCTCACTCTCCCTCAGGTCTGTAGTCAGTGGCAAAGGAAGATGCTAAATCTCATGTCTCATATCTGCGGATTGCATGAAGCATGTAGATGCAGGGGAATAGAGAATTTTGTGGATCTGGGGTTTGCAGGGAAGGATGTCAAACCTTAGGCCTGTTACCAGTAACCAGCTCTGCAAGTTGAGGTCTCTTGTGATCACATACAAGGTACTCTGTAGTAACTGACCCGTATACTGTCCAGGCGGCCAGCAAGATCGGCCTCAGGCTTGGATGGCAGAGGCGGGCGGAGTGGAATAGCCAGTTAGGCTGCCTCCATGTCAGTGTGCTTGCTTTGAGTCCCGGCTGCCTTGAACTTGGGCCTACCATCCAGCTTACTGCTAACGTCCCTGGGAGGCGGTGGGTGACTGCCATCCACGTGGGAGACCAAGCAGAGCGCCTGGCTTGTGCCTGGTCTAACCCTGGCTGTTGCCAGCATTTGAACCAGTGGGTAAGAGATCTGTTCTCTCTGCCTTTCAAAAAATTAAATAGCTTCACTAGAAAAAAAAAAAGTTTGTATGTCACAGTTTAAGAAAGGAGTCTTAATGTGACACTTGTGTTAATCTGCCTTAGTTTGTTGCCATATGTGAGTAAACTCTGTATCTGTCAGTTCCTTTTTGTTGACTTTGAGCTCACCCCAGATGCCTACAACAGCTGGGGCTGGTACCCAGTTCAGGTCTTCTGTCTGGGTAGCAGCAAAACTGATTTGAACCATCCCTCACTGTTTCCTGGGGTATGTGTTAACAGGAAGCTAGAATTGGGAGCCAGTGTCAAGGCTCAGCAGCTGGCACTCCAGTGTGCAAGGCAGGCATCTTAACTGGCATCTTCATCGGTGCCAAACCCACATCTGTGTAATTTTTAACATTCTTCAGTAAGCAAGAAAGCACATCTGAGTATTATAATCCTGGCCATTTAGGCCCAGCCTGAGTGAATTCAAAGCTCAAGCTATTTGGATATACTTTTTCTTTTTTTTCCTCTCGGGACTTGACAAAAATGAAAATCTAAGGCCAAATCAAAAATGATTTAGTTTAGGGACCCATGTTGTGGTGCAGCAAGTTAAGCCACCACCTGCAAACCACTTTGCACTTCGCACTTTGCACTTTGCACTTCGGCTGCTCCACTTCCGACCCAGCTCCCTGCTCACGTGCCTGGGAAAGCACGTACTGTGTGGGAAACAAACCAGTCCTTGGGCCCCCACCACCCACATGGGAGATGCACACAGTTCCAGGCTCCCAGCTTAGTCTGACCCAGCGTGGGCCATTGAGAGCATCTGAGAACTGAACCCAGCCTGTAGGAGACCTCTCTTTCTCCCTCTTTGTGGCCCGCCAGCCATGGAATGAGGCGACAGTGACAGCAGCAGATGGCCTGTGTCCTCAGCCCCTTGGAGGCTTGCCTTCTTCCTTTGTACTGTAACAGACTTTCTGCCACTAACGTGTCAAACGCAGCCCTTTTCCCTTTGAGACCTCTTATACCATTGGGCCGGAAAATAGGGTATGTATGTCCCCGGTGCCTCTTCCAGAAATTCTGCCTCCCTGGAGGCTGTTCCAGGAAAGCCGCTGAGAGCAGCTTGCCTTCCTCAGTGAGTTCAGGGCCTGTGTGGCTGCCTGGCCTCCCCCCTTGGTGGGCTCACCCCTTCCTGTTCAGGGCTCAGGCTCAGGCTTGTGGCTTGGCTCTGCTCAGTCCCTTGCTGTGGTGCCTGGATTTTCCTCCTCACCGCTGGACATCCAACATTCAGCCTTCTCCCAGTGGGCACCTCACATGTGAAACGCCTAAAACCAAACTCTTGGTCTTTACTGAAAACCTTTCTCCCCGCATTCCTCACTTCAGTAAGTAACAGCGCCACCCTTTCATTTGTTTGGACCAAAAATCTCTTTGATGACTGTTTCAACGCTCTGTCCTGCCTCAGCCAATTGTTGGCTTTCTGTCCGTGTGGTAGGATTCATCTGCTGCCCAGCAGCTCCACTCGTGCCCCCAGGTCTGCGCCGTCATCCTGGATTGCCACAGGCAGTTTCCTCACTGGCTGCTGCCAGCACCTGCCATGCCTCTTCTGTCTGTCCTACCCAGCAGGCAGCAGGGTCCGCGTGTTCTGTCTTCAGTGTGAGTGAAACAGTGAAAGCCCGGGTCTCTACATCGGACTCATGTGTGAAGTGAATCCCTAGCGTACATTGCTAGCTCCACTCAGGATCAGTGTTTTTACTTGAAAGTTGTAAATCTTACTTTTTATTACGTTCAGGGAATTTCACACTGCTCCCTTTATAATTGATGTTAACATTACAGTTCAGAAGATTGTGTAAGATTGTGTTTTTCTAAGAATCACAAAGACGTGTATTTGAGGTTATGCTCATGTTTTGCTAAGCCCCCTGCTGCGAGCCTGTGCCCTCCCCCCCCCGAGTGGGCACCTGTTTCCCTTGGAACCACCCTGCTCACTCACACTTGAAGCCAAAAGGAGGTGGGGTTGCATGTAGGTCTCTGGGTGAGCACAGTATTCTCACAGTAGATTTTGTAAGATTTTCTTTCTTGAGAGTGTGTATCGGGAGGACACACAAGTAAGGAAGGAGGCTGAGCTGAAGGCTGGAGTCGCGTGAGTGTGGCTGTACACAGTAGGCTCATTAGTGTGAGTACTGAGCTGGTTTTGTCACAGCAAGGTGCTGAACAGCTATTGGAAGGAGATTAATTTTTTTTTTTTAAGATTTATTTTATTATTTTTATTGGAAAGGCAGATATACAGAGAGGAGAGACAGAGAGGAAGATCTTCCGTCCGATGATTCACTCCCCAAGTGAGCACAACAGCCGATGCTATGCCGATGCGAGCCAGGAGCCTCTTCCGGGTCTCCCGCGCTGGTTGCAGGGTCCCAAACTTAAACACTGCACCATCGCACCGGGCCCGGAAATTAATTTTTAATGCACTTAAAGGTGTTGTGATTCTAGGTCTTATTTAAAAGCTTAAAATATATATATGGGCCCCGCGCGGTGGCGCAGTGGTTAAGGTCCTTGCCTTGCACGCCCGGGATCCCATATGGGCGCCGGTTCTATCCCAGCAGCCCTGCTTCCCTTCCAGCTCCCCGCCTGTGGCCCGGGAAAGCAGTCGAGGACGGCCCAAAGCTGTGGGACCCTGCACCCGCGTGGGAGACCCGGAAGAGGCTCCTGGCTCGGATCGGCATAGCATCGGCCGTTGTGCTCACTTGGGGAGTGAATCATCGGACAGAAGATCTTCCTCTCTCTATATCCGCCTTTCCAATAAAAAAATAATAAAAATAAATCTTTAAAATATATATATATATTTACTTGTCAGTGACGAAGTATTCTTTGAAAAAAATCTTATCCTGGCCTCTAAATATGTTTGCTTTTTTCCTAAGACCTATTTTACTTATTTGAAAGACAAATTGACTAGGAAAGAGACTGAAAGAGAAATCTCCCGCCCCGAGTCACACTCAAAGCAGGAGCTCCATCCTAGTCTCCCAGGCAGGCACACAGTACTTGAGCCATCCTCCACTGCCCTCCAGGCACTTTAGCAATAAACTGGACCAGAAGCAGAGCAGCCAGCACTCAAGCTAACTGTAATCCCGATGCCAGCCTCGCTGTGGTCTGTTAAACTTGCACTGAAAATTTAACTGAAAGCCTGGGTCTGTAAATCCTTAACGCCTGAGCTAGAGAACAAGTCAAGGATTAATAATTCAGAATTTAAAACTCATCCTGTAGCTTGTCCGTACGGTCCCGGATTTAATCCATCTGTGGTGTGACTGGACAAGGTGTGTTTCCCTCCACAGCGACCCTGCCATGAAGCAGTTCCTGCTGTACTTGGATGAGTCCAACGCGCTGGGGAAGAAGTTCATCATCCAGGACATCGACGACACGCACGTCTTCGTGATCGCGGAGCTGGTGAACGTCCTGCAGGAGCGAGTCGGTGAGCTCATGGACCAGAACGCTTTTTCTCTCACCCAGAAGTGAAGACGCCACGTCCTGTTTGGGAGTCGCACACAGCAGTGTGGAAGGCTGACCCCATCGTTCTTGCGTTCCATGGGACTGATAGATGCAGGCACTTGCTGCAGCAACAACCATGGGATCGTTGATTCGGGAAAAGCCCTGAACAAATCGGTTGTGCATTAGAATTAACAAAACAAAACTCTGACGGTTATCTGTGTTTGGTTTTTATTATCTTTTATTAAAATACAAACCTAAGGACAGGGTTCTGCTGCTGCCTGGACTGCCCGTGTCCCACGCTGGAGTGCTGGGTGCCTGCCTCCACTTCTTCCTGTCCAGCTTCCTGCTGGTGTCCAGGAGGCACCTGCTGATGGCCAAGTCCTTGGGTCCCTGCCACCCACTTGGGAGACTCAGATGGAACGCCTGCCTTTGACCCAGCCCATCGGGGGAGTAGACCAGCAAATGGTACATCTCTTTTCCTCCACCCCCACCTCTCTCTGCCTCTTATATAAACAAGTCTCCCTATATAAATTTAACAGGCACATGTTTGGCCTAGTAGTGGCGCTGTCTCATTTGAGTCCCAGGTTCCTGCTACCGTGCATGGCCGGAGGCAGCAGGCAATGGCTCAAGTGACAGGTCCCTGCCACCCACGTGGAAACTCTAGCTGGTGTTCCTAGCTCCTGGCTGCTTCCTGGCCCAGCCCTTCCCAATCATTAGAATCATTGGAAATGTGAACCAGGAAAAACTGGGGCTCTCCCTCTCCATGCTAGTCTTATACATTAAGAATATAGTGGAGGGACTAGCACTGTGGCTTAGCACAGTAAGCTGCCACCTGCAAAGTTGGCATCCCATATGGGTGCCAGTTTGAGTCCTGGCTAGCTCCCTGCTCATTTCCCTGGCAAAGCTGCAGATAACAGCCCAAGTGTTTGGGCTCCTGCACCCACATGGGAGACCTAGAAAAACCTCCAGGTTCTTGGCTTCAGCCTGGCCCAGCCCCAGCCATTGCAGCCATTTGGGGAGCAGAACCAGTGAATGGAAAATAACCCTCTCCCTCCTCTGTAGCTCTGCCTTTCAAGTAAATAAATAAATAAATAAACATATATATTTATTTATAAACATATATATTTTAATATATATATATATATATTTTAAGGAGAATTAAATAGTAGAGGCAGTTATTGTGGTGCAGCAGATTAGGCCAGCACTGTGACCTCCACATGCCCAGTCGGCTCGGTTTGATCCTGCCTGCTCCACTTGTAGCCCAGCTCCCTGCTAATACTCCTAGGAAAGCAGCAGAGAATGGCCAAGTACTTGGGCCCCTGCCACCCAAGGTGGGAAACACGGGAGCTGCATTCTCGTTCTCTCTTCCCCATTCTTTTCCCTATTGATCTCTCTCCCAGCTGCTTTCCAAATAAGTAAAGCAAATCTCCTTTAAAAACTACATATAATATATATACATATATATGTATATATATATATGAAATGGCTTGAAGTGATCAGTGTAACCTAGGTGCTGGTGGTGCGTGTGGGTTTTTGCAGTATGAGTGTCTTCCTGTTTCAGTTGAAACATTACAGATTTATTATTTAGATAAATAGGCCCAAGTGGGAATTGGGATAATCCTTCTTGGAGTAGAAGCACTCAAATAAAAAGGCATGCACTGCTTTGCACCTGTGTTTGTCTTCCTTCTTCCCTTCCTCTCCCTCCCAAATGACTGCAATGACCCAAACTAAAGCAGTCCAAAGCCAGGAGCTTCTTCCAGGAGCTTCCACAGGAGCACAAGGTCCCAAGGCTCTGGACCGCCAGCTGCTGCTTTCCAGGCCACAGGCAGAGTGCTGGATGGGAAGTGGAGCAGCCAGGATATGAACCGGTATACATATGGGATGCTGGCACTTGCAGTAAGGAGATTAGCCAGTTGAGCTGTGGCACTGGCCCCTGCACCTCAGTGTTTCCTTGTTCAGGCTTTGTTGGATCCCTTACCGTAGTTGTTCTTTGGGGAAGAAGTCAGTCTCACTTGTGCCTTATTCCCTATGCCAGTCACTGTTAAACTTGCTGCAAAAGAACAGAGGCAATGTCAACGCTGCAGGAAGTGACAGATTTAGATTAAATGTGTCATGTATGAGTTGATAGAAGCAACAGCACTGACAGGGAGTTCCTCCCACTGGCATGGGATTCCGTGTTGAGACTTCTAATGACAGTGGATGAAATGATCCAATCAAACTCGCCTGCTTCCTTCTAGTGTGTCTTCAGAGCAGCCGTGTGGACCGTGTGCACTCACACGTGTGTTGCTGAATCTGGAGTTTTTGCTTAGCTGTGTGTGTCATGATTCCTGCCCCATCTAAGTCAGCCTTACTGGTAGAGTTGCCATTAAAACTTGTTAAGTACAAGATCTAGTTCCTTGGGGTTTCCAGCTGCAGTGTTACTAAATTTTGTGTTTCAGGTGTATCCAAGTCAATTTTTAATCGTTTCAGGCATTTGTGACCTAATACTGTTTATATTAATGTGCAGTTTAGAGGTTTATTTTATTTTAAAATCCTAGAATTAGGAAAAAAAAAAAAAAGGAAGGGCTGCTGCCATGGTGTCACGGGCTGAGCCTGCAGTGCAGCGGGCGCCTAGTCTAGTCCCGGCTGTTCCACTTCCCTTCCAACCCCCCCCCCCCCCCATTCTGGCCTGGGAAAGCAGCAGAGGATGGCCCGAAGGCCTGGGGACCCTGCACCCGTGTGGGAGACCTGCAGGCAGTTTCTGACTCCCAGCTTCAGATCTGCTCAGCTGAAAGACCTCTGTCTGCCTATCCTCCTCTCAGTAACTCAACCTTACAAACAAAAATAAATCTTAAAAACAAACACAAACCTCAGTACAAAATAAATGAAAGAGGGGGCCACAGGTGAAGCCATTGCTTGTTACACTGGCACCCCAAATTGGAGAGCTGGTTTTAGTCCCAGCTGTTCCACATGGATCCATCTTCCTTCCAATACACCTGGGAAGGAGGTGCTGCTGCCTGTCAGACCCAGCTGGGGCTCCTGGCTCCTGGCTTCCATCTGACCCAGACCCGCCTGTCATGTCATCCCGTTACCCCATCGTTTTGTCTTTTTCAAGTAAGTACTGTTTTTTTTGTTTGTTGTTGTTTGTTTGTTTTTTGTGAATAGCTTCAAACTCTTCCTAAGAAGATGAAAGCATTCCTACTATCTCAGATCATGCTACTTTGATGGGTTTTTTTTGCTGAGTTATTTTATATATAGATTTTTTATAATGATTACATGATGGATCAGGGTGGGAAGGATCGAGGTTTAGGGAAAATTGGGTGTACTCATTGCTTCCAAATTTGCTGTTTCTTCTTGTTGTTTCTAGGGAAAGGGAGAGACAAAGGGGGAACCTCTCACGACTTTCCACATGTCTCAGTGCCCAGGGTCGCTGAGTTTTTCATGCTCTTCATTCAAAACATGAAACAGGACTTCTAGTTCAGGGGGAACTTTTCTTATTTCTTAGCTCTATTAGAATTACATAGGGAAACTTTCTAAATTGTGTTCGTATCTTGTCTCAGCCCCCAGTGGGCCCAGTTGCATTGCTCTGGAACCAAAGCCTCAATGCTTTTCCCGGTAAGAAGCGGTGTCGCCCAGCAGCCAGGCCTGTTGTGCGTGCAGAGACCTTGGGTGACAGGTAGCAGGTTCTGTTTGGCTTCCAGGAGGCTAAGCTGCCAACACAGCTGTTTCCTTTTGCTGCCAAGGAAAAGCTGAGTCTGCCAGCAAGGAGCTAGCATTTGTTAAAATTCACTAATTAGATAACAGATGCCCCGAGAGCTTGCAGGAGCTTGTTCATGGACGGCAGTTAGCTCAGTTCGGATCCTTTGGTTGGATCGAGGAGACTCATTTTAGCACACTTACTTAGAAGTTTGTTGTTTTTACCATAAATTCAGTGCTAAGATATCTGGTCATTTGTTTATTTCCTGTTTACTGCACATGGTTTTTTTTTTCTTTAGTCTAACAAACTGTCCAGCTGTCATTTCTCAAGTAGGATCCCTCTGAGGGCTGTCTGTTGCCCAGTGCTGTTTTCCTAGCTCTCGGTCACACCGGGGTGTCCCCAGAACGCTCGGTCACATCTGTACCCGCCCAAGATACAGGTGGAGAGGAGAGAGGTTGGGTCCCACATTCAGGACGATGAGACATGTGTAGCAAACTACCTCGGCGACAGAAATCTTGATGCCTTAAACTCCTGTGGTACATAGACTGGGAGAGTTTGTCTTAGTAAAAACAAGAATCGTAGTATTTGAAGTTGCAGTTTGCAGTGAAGTTGCATCTTAGACACTGCAGTGGGAAAAGCTATGTCTCCAAGAAAATTCTCCACAAATTCTTAAACCTTACAGCTATGCTGAGCAGTTCACCGAAAGCTATTCTGAATTTTTCAGCATATAATCTTTTTTTTTCTTTTTGCCTTTTAAAAAACTTTTTTGTTTTGATGATCATTACATAGTTGATTACGGCTTACAGGATCAAGGGCTCCAGGAACATGCATATGACCGTTGTGTCCACATTGTCTTTTTTTCCTTTCTGTATCTGGGAGGAGGGCAGAGACACAGGGAGAAGCCCCACCCAGGCTCCCACCCATCCCAGGTCCCCGATGTGGGGCATGCTCCGAGGGCACTGCTCAAGTGGTTTCGACAGCTCAACTTCTGAATTGCTGCCAGTCTTGCCATTCCAAGCACGATGTTTTATTTTATTTTGTTTTTAATATTATTTACATAATTGAGAAGGATAAACATTAATATGAGCCTCTAATTGGGTTGGGGAGAGTGGAGATGTGGAGGAAGGTGTGTGGGACAAATGTGTTTTGCGCTTCTTTTTTTAAAACTTACTATTTTAGATGATGTTTACATAGTTGATTAGTGTGGGAAGGATCTAGGGTTAGGGAGAAGGGGGTGTGATCATTTTTTTCATACTTTCTCTTTCTTCTTCCCATTTCTAGGAGTAAAGGGGAGATGAGGGGATAGGCCATACCCAGCCTCCCAACCATCCCAGTACCCGAAGATGGGGAACAGCTGTTCAATATCAACCCAGGGTCACAGTGGCACATGCTCTGAGGGTTCTGCCCAGGTGGATGCGATAGTTCTGAAATGCTGTTTGTCTCATCAATCTACGGCTGAGGAATCCCTTCCAATGTCCCGTTAGCTGACACAGTCGACTGTAGAGTCTCCATTCGCCCAGATATTTGCTGTTATCTTT